GAACTCCTGGTGCAAAAACCTTCAATTAAATATATTTCTCAATAACCACAAAGGATATAAATCAACTTTGTGTTCACCAAATTCCTTCGCAAACACAATTATTACCTTGTAAAAGCAGTGACATCATCACTGGGCTGCACATAACCTGTTCAGAGAGCAGAACTGTGAGAGGAACCCATCAGGTCCACCCACTACTGGCTGCCTGCAGAAAACTACAGAAGGAGGCGGATACAAGACCCGTCACCCTGCACAAGGAGAGAGAGCAGGAGTGACTGGTCTTTAGTACAGGAAGATCCTCTACAGAGGCAAATTTTCAAACTGGATTACTGCAGAGATCTGGAAAAAAATACACAAAACACACCAAGATTCAGGCTTCCTGATTGGCCAGGAAGACGGATTCATGTTCCCCCGCAGCACTATCGGTCAGAGGAAATCTCCCTCTGACCGGAAGTTCCTATATTGAGGAAGGTATTGGAGCACTAGCATCGGTGCATGCCTAGTTATAATGAAAGATCAATACCACTGAATACATTTAAAACACACCTCCACAGTAAACAGTAAATCAGGTGATGTTAGACATACTGTATTATATATATTGTTTTTGGGGCCTGTTGCCTAGAAATGACCTTTAACCTGTTGCCGTCCACCCGCTACAAAAAAACGGTTGGACCCGCATTTGCGGGTTGCAGTCTCCAGACGGCATTTTATTTCTGCTCGCGCGCACATGCGCAGAAAAATCCCGTTCAATGCAAAGAGCCGTTACCGGCTGTTTCCCATACACACGATCGGTGGCTCTATAGCCTACCAATCGCGTGTATGTGCTGGCTGCGTGAACCCCCTCCCCCCCTCACCTGTCATCTGGCTGCTATAGCCAGAGAGAAGAAGCTGATGAAGCAGATCTTTGCTTCATCAGCTTCTTTTGAGGTCCCAAGGTGACATTAGGGGTCTTAGAGATCCCCAATGTCTCCATAAAGAGGAACTGGCAGTGTGCCTTTGCTATTCTATAGGGGGATTGTTATCCCCCTATGTCATAGCAATAACAATAAGTGTAAAAAAAAAAAAAACATAAAGAGTAAAAAAATAAGTCACATATAAAAAAAGTTTTAAAAAACCCCCAAATTTTTAAGTCCCCCACCCCCACATTTACACACATATAAACGTAAATACACGTTCACGGCGCCAGCATGCGAAAACGACAATTGCGCTACACGTTACATATCGTCACGAACGTCGGAGTGAGAGCAATCATTTTAGGGCTGTCAATCACTGGTAACACTAAACTGATGAGCAGTAAAAGCTTGTAAAGCGTCGCCCATGGCCAATTTTGGGTATTGTATTTTTTTGAGGTTTCGCGCGTGCGCAATTTTAAGGCTTGACATGTTTGGTGTCTTTTTACCCGACGTGACCCCGTCTTTTATATTTTACCAAAAATTGGGTAATAATAAATGTTTTATCATTTTAATATTGGGGAAACAGTTTTAAAAAAAAATTTGGTAATTTTCCCTTAATATAGTTACAAATAAAACCCCCAGTGGTTATTAAATACCACCAAAAGAAAGCTCTGTCTGTCTCCAAAAAATTGTATAAAATTTATTTCAGTACAGCGTTGCATGACAGAATAAACGTCAAAGTACTGCAGCGCTGAACACTGAAAAATGGCCTGGATGGGAAGGGGGTTTAATACCGCGGACTTGAAGCGGTTAAAGCAACCTGTTCCAATGCAAACATTCTAAAACCAAGCATTACCTGTAAAAGAAAAGTGTACATACTCTCCTTTGCCACACCACCAAGTGCCACTCAAAGCCTAAAAACCTTCTGCTGATATCCGCACTGAAAGCAACATCTCCTGGGTTCCTTTCAGCTCGCAATTTTTCCTCCCCCTGACCTCCACCTATTATAGGATACAGTAATGATAGGGAGGTCAGGAGAATGAACCAGTAAGAGTTGTTGGGGACCCAGGAGGTCGGCATTCCCTGAAGTGCAGGTTTCAGCCAAAGGTTTCTCATTCAGCAGTATGAGCAGCAGGAAAGGAGAGTATGCATGCTTTTCTTTTAGTGGCAAGTCTAGGTTTGAATATTTTTGTAGAGTGAAAGAGCTGTTTTATACAAACATTTTTAATGGTAAATGGTTTATAGTTTCCTTAAACTTGATGTTAAATTGGACCTTTGCTCAAAAGGTCAATGTTAACAGTCATGCAGCGGTGAAGAAATATATATAGACTAATAGAAATATTGCTGCCCCAAGCTTCCTCCCATGATGATCATTTAACCAAAGTCATGGGTCCTTGGTCACGTGATCTTTAAATCCGAACTCATGTTATGCTGCATCAGACATGTAATGTTATCAAAATCAAATACAGATTCAGCTCTGTGTGCTGAATGGATGCCTGAGTTAAAGGTTGATCCTTCAGGTCTTGTTCACACCGAAAGCATGTAGAACGGTAGCTGCTGGAACAAACCGCGATCGCTGAGGAACTTCCCCCCGCGTTTTGGGGTGGGAGGGGGCGTGACGGCGCATTGTATTCAATGGCACCGCTTCCGCGCCACATACCCCCCGCAGTGCGATCGGACGCCTGGCAAAACTTTCCGTTCCACTGCAAACGCGAAAAATAAGGCTTGCCCTATATTTTGCGTTTGCAGTGGAACGCGGCAAAGTTTTGCCACACATTCGATCGCACTGCGGGCGGAGGGGCGTGGAAGCGGTGCCATTGAATACAATGCACCGCCATGCCCCCTCCCTAAAACACGGGGGACGTTTCTCAGCGATTGCGGTGCGTTCCAGCAGCTACCGCTCTAGAACGCACACGCTTTCGGTGTGAACAAGCCCTTTTATTTTTGGTCTGTTCTGTAAAGCTTCCTTGATAATCTAGTAACAATCTTTGTTTCTTTTGGCTTCTACTCTCCATCTGTTTGCATACATCACCCTGTCTGTCATGCATTCTGTCATGCATTCTGTCATGCATACATCACCCTGTCTGTCTTGCATTCATAGGCCCATATATTAAGCTGCAGGAACTATATTAAATAGCTGATTAACCACTGAAAGTTTTTTTCTCATGAATAAGTATTTTATTTCATGAAGTGTTATTTTATCTACATCTGGAATGGATCCTTTCTTTGCTTTCCTTAAGATGTAGAAGCTCACATTTAACACCAGCCAAAAGATAGCAGTTTTTAGGGATTAATGATCTTTGTAAATTGACTTGTACATACAAAATACCACAGAAACTAATATAAAACTGCATATAGAAAATGTAACTAATCCACATGATAAAACCTTTAATAAAACTATAAAATGTGATTTTAAATGTAAAAATTAGAAGGCTGTATGTCGTATAGATATTGATATACTTTTTTTTTGCTGGTAGGCCACCTAATTTGACCTGCATAGTTTACAATTCTGTCCTGAATGCCTATTAATTTTAGCAGTGCCACAGTGTCAGGACGACTGTACCTGGCTTGTCAAAAGGCTACATTTGTTTATCAGCTGTTACTAGTGAGGCTTAACCAAGAACATTACCTTGGAGGGTTACTGCATGGATAATGAAAGAAATTAGGAACTGAATTAGTTTAAAATTTCTAATAGAGGATATTACATGAACTCATGTAGTGAATGAAACCTACATATTTTCCTGAATATAAAAACGTATGCATTATCTGTGGCACTGCTAAAAGTCACACTGTTATATGAGGTCTCATGTATAAGGACCAAAGCGATCCCAACACAACTACTAGGTGTAAGGTTTACTAAAACGTCTGCTGAGAAAACCATATGTCTTTGAAGGTCTCTCCTTAGACCTAGTCCTAGCAGGAAAATCATATTGAGGAATATTAGACTAGTGGTGCTATCATCTACGTCTTTTGTTGTAGGCTTTTTTTTCTAGTTGCTGAGATATATAGTAAAAATAACTATTTTAAAGAGTACTTGCAGGGTATGTTACCGCCATCTGTTGCCCACTAAAAACATTTATTTATCTCCAATTAACTCTGGTCCTATTTTTTTTCCATTATATCATATGAGTTGCTCTTCAACCCTGAAGCCAGTAGCCGAAAAATACTAGATAGACATCATGTTACAAACTAGATGATGGCCTCTATTTCTCGGCCACCCCATAGCAACCCAGTGTCTTTAGCTTGTCAATCAGTACCTGGCCATATCTTGTCTTGTCATCTGCTTTCTTGCTGAAACCCTCCTACAGGGAGCTGCAGTGTCTGGGAAGGGGAACATGTGCAGCGCTAAAGGGGGATTTGGCTCAGTCGGGGAAGGTAAAGGCAGTTTTGTCATCTTACGTTGAAGCTTGTGCATCACATAGTAAAGATATGTTTAGACTGTCATATGGGAGCCTTTAGTTGTACTTTAAAGGGGTTCTAAACCTTCCCATTTTTTTGCCTATATCTACTGCTATCAAGCAGTAGATATAGGCAAACAGTTTTAAAAAATGTTTAAAAAAAACGCTTTAACAGCGGTTTAAACTTACCTTATTTTCGCTGCGCGGTCCCACCCGAGAAAACGAAACTGTTCGGGCGGCCGCAAAGCATCTTGGGGCAGGCGCATGCGCAGTTCGGATTCTCGGCCGGGAGATGAGCAGAGACGCAAGGTAAGTCTATGGACGCGTGCACCCGCATGCAGACACCGTGGGATCAGAAGTGCCAGCAAGCAGAGAGGAGTCAGCGCTGGATCGGAGAGCCGCCGCACCGCTGGAGGGACAGATGAAAACACCAGGAAAGAAGAAGAAGATCGTATTAAGAGACATCATTTAAGGTAAGCGCTGACATTAACATTGGGGGGAGGGAAACATTTTTTATCCTTTAATGTCACTTTAAGGCCATCTCCTACATTGTTTTAATTTATGTAATAGCATATGGAATAGGTCACTTGGGTCTCAACTGTGACAAGCAGGCAGGGCAATCATAAAAAACTTTAAGCATATATGTATGATTTAAGTTTATTCTTATGACCTCCAATAGTAAACTAAATATATTTGTATTCAATATCACTAGTATCCAGAATATGGATTCCTGGGTGTTTCTGAAAAGATCCAACTCTTTCGGCACAATCTTAACTCAGAAAATGTCCTTGAGTGTCTTCTACCCAGCAACTCCATTTCTGAAGGGGACCTAATTGAAGTTGTTCTGCCTGGTGAGAATCTCAATGTTCTATCATTGCATATTTAATTTGTAACTCCGTTTAACAGTAAGGATGACATGTTTAATGTTGTCCCTGTTATAAGTTTGCATTAGAGCCCAAAGACTTTTTACCGTCCATTTTTAGCAGATTGGAGAAGAGGAGGAGGTGTTAGGTATACAGAATAGTTTAAAGTTTATATAAAGCTGTGTCTGTGTAAAAGAAGCATGTAGTGAGAGTTAATGAGATGCTATTGTTGACCCTTCTTTTGAAAATCTAAGATGCTTGGCTATCATGCTAATCCAATGATTTTTAAACTTTCTGGAGCACTCCTCATGACTTCATCCTTCCTAATTCCTGTTTTTTTCTAACTCAGTAAATTAACTAGTATCCTTAAATTTAGGTTAGCAGTGCAAGTCCCCATACCTCTCACTACAAGTAGGAACTTAAAGTGACCCTGTCAGGTCATTACAAATTATGTGTATACGGTTATAATCTTTAAAAAAAAAACAAAACAAAAAAAACTTTTCATAATTAATTTAAACTACTTCAGTAAAACACAACCAAGTAATTAAAAGATATCCCGGGGGGCACAGCAATATCTACAACATATTCAAAATCCTTGCTGCATTCAGGTATATTAGTTCTACATATCCACACCTTAGGCTTGATATCTAACATCGATTAAATGTTTACATTGCAATAGAAGAAAATACAATAATGATTATTATTGTATTATTAATAAATAACAGCTAAATTGGCATCCGAATATAACTTTTCTAACGGAGTTAGCCATACGGGGAATCTTTGAATATAGCGCACCACCCTTCGGTGTTTCTGGTCTTCCCTCTGCACTGCTTGTTACAAAACTGAGGCAAGCTGGGGGTGGGAGGGCTTATACCAGGCTGGCCACTGTTTTTTTTGTTTGCCTGTGTTCACATCCTACTGAAGTGACAGTATAACCCAATTGTGTCTAAATCCTGTGTCCACCAATAAACTACAAAGATAAAGATTTCACAGTGAGTACAAAAATCAAATGATTTCTTATTTTTGTCACTCTTTTTTCTGAGTTCATAAAACATATCTTAATTGCACATATCACTGCTTTTTACAGCTTCTGTATCCCTTGACTTCTCTATCCGTCCTCACATCCTCTTAGTCCACTCTTATAAATCTCCAGCCTTTTGTGACTACTGTGGTGAAATGTTGTTTGGCTTGGTGAGACAAGGCCTAAAATGCCAAGGTAAGTGAATCGAATTTCCTCATTCTACAAAGGTTACCTTTTGCTTTCATACATTGGTGCCAGTCATTATCTGTTTTTGCTGCACGTTTTTGCTCGCGTAAACCATGCGTGCATTAAGTCACGCAATTTTATGAGCCAATTGTGACACATAGCTGCAAATGGGCAAAACATGTGCAGACCCGCGCAAAAACAATTGCAACCCGCTTTTCCAAGCATTCTCTATTGACTTTATGGGGACAAAACAAGCTGTAATCTGCTAAAAAGAATCTCATGTACTTTTTCCAGCGACAGGCATTTTGCTTATTGTGACAAAACGCTCAGGTGTGAACCGTGCCCATAAGAATAAATGGGATTTTTTTTGTGCAGCATTTTGTTGCACTTATTCAGCTGCAACAATACGCTCAGTGTGAACCAGGCCTTAGGCTGGGTTCCCACCTAGGTGTACGGAATATGCGCGTTTGCCGCGCGTTACGGGCCGTGCTTTTTTACCGCGATTTGCGCCGACAAACGCGCGTTTCCGAGGGCTACCTGGCTGTATCCCAATGGATACATGTGACAAATACGCCCCAAAGAAGCTCCTGTACTTCGTTGGACGTAGGACGTTTTACAGCGCGTTCCTACGCGCTGTAAAGTGCCCAGGTGGGAACCATGCCCATAGACAATCATTGGTTTTCACATGTTGAGCGTTTTACAGCGCGCAGGAACGCGCTGTAAAACGCCCAGGGGTGAACCAGGCCTAAGGGGGAAAGGAATGGGATGTGTGGGGGAGGATAGAGAACACTTTTTTGTTATTTTTTATTGCTTGGTAATTTTATCTCTGTTAGATCCCTAATGCTGTTTTGGCATCAACCAGATGCAGATCAGAGACAGAAAGTCTTTGATCTGTGTCTGAGCTGGGGGAAGAGCACCAGCACACTGAAGATAAGAAGTCAGAAGTGCTTTGTGCTGTAAGTGTGACTGAATGTTCTTTAACTGCACGCTGTGACTTCCTGTGCGTTCTGTCTGTGTTCTGAGATTACGTTTGCCATCTGTCTGCTGTGTGCGTGTGTACGTACAGGATGACTGTAAAGGGGAGAGATGCAGACACACAGGGAGAGAATGTAACACTACTAAGGAAAGTGTGTGGGCGCAACAATGTAGATGGGCAAGCACACAGAGAGGTGCTGCTTTAGTCAAGAGTAGGACGTTGTTTTGTTCAGTTCAGGAAGCTTCCAGCACTGCTGATAGTAAGGGCGAGGTCATACCAGATGCCGTTGTGATGCAGTCTGTTCAGTTTGACTGTTGCATCAAAATCGCATCACAATGCATTCCAAAGGGATTTCTGGTGCTCTGTTCACACCGTGCAGTGAAGTCCATTCCAATGCAGTAAAAAAAAATACTGCTTGCCTATCTATTATCTATTATATGATAAAGTACAGTAAGGAAAATAATTATTTGATCCCCTGCAGATTTTGTAAGTTTGCCCACTTACAAAGAAATTAAAAGGTCTCTAATTTGTATCATAGGTGTATTTTAAATGATATAGACAGAATATCAACCAAAAATCCAGAAAAAAAAAAAAACACATGATACAAATGTTATAAAATAATTTTATGGAAAATAAAACAGTTATAGCTTAGTGTATTAAACTTAGATGATTGTATATGATGGCTTTAGACTAGGAATGTCCCGATACCGATACTAGTATCGGTATCGGGGCCGATATAGGGCATTTTCACTAGTACTTGTACTCGTGAAAATGCCCCGATGCTGAAGGTTGATATTGGCCCTTTCAATTTTTTAATCGGATCGGCCACCTCAGGTCCCACGCTTGTGGGGTTCTGAGGCAGCCTTCCGGGGACCCGGCAGTAGCTGTCTTTGACCCTGCCTGCCAAGTCCCATGTCTCCTCCTGATTCCTGGTGCAGGCACTGCTCGGGCCAGCCGCACACCAATAATACAGCCTCGGAGCGGGCACGTGACTGGCACCCACTCCGTTCGGCTCAATGCGCGCTCGTAGAGCGGGCTCAGCACAGCACCTGTCAGTAGCGCTGGAGAGACCCAATAGGCAGCCTGGTGACATCTGGACGCAGCCTTGGTGACATATGGACACAGCCCTGGTGAGAGTCTGCGTGCAGGTGTCACCAGTCTGCGTACAGGTGTCACCAGGCTGCGTAGAGATTCTGGACGCAGCCTGGTGAGATCTGCACATGCAGCCTAGTGAGATCTGCGCTCGCAGCCTGGTGAGTAACTGCCCTAAAATCATTAGTCTGTATTGTTTTAGAACAAAAATGTCACATGTCCCTTTAAGTAAAAGTATCAGTAATTGGTATTGGCAAGTACATGGACAGTACTTGTTCTTGGTCTTGAAAAAGTGGTATCGGGACATCCCTACTTTAGACTATAACAGATTCAGTCGTAATTAGACTTCCTTCATGTTACCATGCTCACATTACACAGAATTCCACCTACCTTTAAGTATAAATGCCAGCAATGTCACTTATTGCAATGTGCAGACAGAATAAACCCTCTAAACTGTGAATTTGCATACAATTTGCAAGGAAGTGCACAGTTAATGAATAGAAGGATGTATTATAATGCTTATTTAACAATAGCATGATTACAGAAGTAGCATTTTATTACTCAGCAGCCAATAAGGTCAACAGCTCTGAGACTCCTAACCACAGTAAACTAATTATTGTAGATTGCCACAATTGTAAAATTGTATTGTAAAAATAAGTATGACTGAGGCAAGATGCTAAAGGCACAATAGTTCCAATTTCCTTGAAGTGATAGTAAAGTCAACATGTTTTTAGGCTATTTTAAATGCTGATTAAATTACTTACAATGGATGCTGCTCTTTGATGTTTAAAAGTTTTAGCATCCTGCAGAATCAGCTGGTCCCCTGAGCACTGGCCCTGATATACTGTTTTAGGGTGGCTCCTTTCCCTTGCAGGGTCCTATGGAGCCACCCTTGTGTGTGTCTCCAGAAACACACAAGCAAATTAAGGCAAGCCAATCCCCTGCTCTTCCCTACTCCTTTCTCCAAGCTAGAAGACTGACAGCTGCTGGAGACTACACAGCCCCTTGTGATCTTGTACTCGACAGAAATTTCAGTGAAACGGAGCTGAAAGAGTTGGAGTCGGTTGTTTGGAAACATGATGACTGTAATTGCTTGGGCAAAAATGTATATACATACTTTGCTGGGCAACGTACTGTATGTTTGTTTGAACCTGATTAATTATTGAAAAAAAGTTTGAGAGTTTTATACTACTTTAAAGCATATACAGAACATCTCTGCAATACATGCACATCTTCCTTGTTTTATCCCTATAAAGACCCTGCAAGCACAGAAAAAAAATGTTGATCTGACAGAGGAGCGCTCAGATCCTAATTTCCAATTGTGGGCTGATAACACAGTGCCTCTTCTGGACTAAAATTGCAATAAATGGTGTCAGCCCTGTCTGGTTGTCTTTTGCTAAGCTACAGAATTATTCCCCCTCTCTTCACCCCCACAACATAGGATACATTGTTTTGTAGTCCAAGATGAGAACTAGAAGGGCTAAATAGACCAATTGAAATAACACAGGCAGAGTGAACTGGGCAGCTCTGATCAACAGGTATCAGATCAACAGGATTTTTTCTTTGCACTTCTTAAACAAATATAACAAAGCGCATTCAATAGTATATTTAACAGACCAAAAGGAAGCAAATACATGCATCTCATTGTTCAGATTAACATTAACTTACCAAAATGGTTGTAAGAATAAGGTTCTATATGAAAACTCAGCTCCTGTGCTTTTTTTTCCAGGATGTGGGCTTAATTATCACAAGCGCTGTGCCTTTAAGATACCCAATAATTGCAGAGGTGTCAAAAGAAGTCACTTGTCCAGCCGCTCATTTACTGGAGCAAGTTCTATCACCAAGTCTAGATCAGCAACTCTGCCAACTGGAGGAAGCCTGGAGGATCTAGGGGGGTATAACTCAGAACAGCAGGTCAGTTGTAGGAACAGGCTTAAAAAATATAATTGTTATATTTACAGACACAAACCTCAGCTGTTCTCTGTGCAAAGAAACATTTTGGGCACTCCCTTTAGAAGTGTATCATTGTTGCTGCACAAAATGTTATTGTTATCATGGTATAGTACAACTAACCAGTATGTTGGTATAGAGGACACATAATAATGAAGATTTCTAAAGTACCATTGGGTTGTTTGCCAACCAACATGTCTAGATGGCATTTACACTGATTTATCTAGCTGAACATTAGATTTGTTTTAATGGTACTTTGTTTTGTTACAGGTTTACAAAAAGTCTCGCATTCCTTCAGTTGGGGGCCGTCCAATATGGAAGGATTGGCAGGATATGAATCGATTAAAGGTTCCCCACACCTTCCAAGTTCATACCTATACACGCCCTACCATCTGTCAGTACTGTAGACGGTTGCTTAGAGGATTATTCAGACAGGGCATGCAGTGCAAAGGTATACATTTTTTAGCAGTCAAAAACCATAACAATCTTATCCTAAAAACAATACTTGGATGACTCTATTTATCTTGTCAGGTTTCAGCAGCATTCAGTGGCAGCAATCACTAAAAGCAAATGTCAGCAGGTGCATGAATCAGAGCTAGCACAAAGTATTCTCAGTAAAATATACAGTAAAAAGACTAATATGTCAGTCTTCAAGCATTAAAAGAAACATGTACTAAGAGAAATATGTGGACTTTGAGAATACTTTTAAGCCATAGATAATTGTAGTCTAATTTAGCTGTTTATGGTCAGATTGGTGTCCGCAGGGATCACAGAGTGCCAATAGATATACAACTTTTTCCCAGAGACACCAAAAATCTGTGATCACAGAGAAGGGAATTTATCAAAAGTGGAGCAGACAAAATCTGGAGCAGCTGTGCATGACAACCAATCAGCACCTCCCTCTCATTTTCAAATCTTAACTGAACAAACTGAGAAGAGAAGCTGATTGGTTACTATGCACAACTGCTCCAGATTCTGTCGGCTCCAGTTTTGATAAATTCCCCTCAGAGATTTCTAATTTGTATGTACACATACCAGTAACAATTCTAAACTGAATTCTAAGATTCAGCAATAATTTCATATTTATGTTAATATGAACAAAAAGCTATTGTGTGAGGGGAGCAATGCCTGGCTAGATTGATATCACACTGTAGAGAGTAAGGCCCCATTCACACTGAGCGATTTATCGAGCGATTTTTGCAGTGATATCGCTCATATTTCCACGTGATATCGCTCTATGTAGCTTCTCCAATCCATTTCAATGGAGTTGTTCACATCTCGCCTCTCAATATCGCTCAATATCGCTTGTAGCTCGTCGCTGGTAGCTTGTCGCGCCTACATGACCCTTTTTTCGAGCGATTTTCGAGCGATATTGCTCCTGATTGCATACAGCCCAATAGGAAAACGTTGCGCGATTTCGCGCCACACGTCGCTCAATGACCGTTGTCATTAAAATATATTGAATCTACTTCTGGAGTGCTGGTGACATCTTTTGGAATTACTACTTGACTACACGGTGCCTCCGTGGTCACTACAAGCACCCTATTACAGACATCATCTCCTAGGAGATCCGGTAAGGAGTGCAGGAAGATACACACAATTTTGTACACGTCGCTCAATATCGCTCGTCGCGCAATATCGCTCAAAATCGTGCGATTTTCATGTCGCTCAGTGTGAATGGGGCCTTAGGCTGGCCCTTGCTCATGAAAAACAATTAACCAATTCCTTCATCCACGCTAACCAGGATGGACGAATGTGGAGGGGTGCCGACAGGGCCACCCATGGCTCAACTTTTGGCCAATTCATGAGGAACTAGTAAAATTTAATTCTGTGTATGATCAACTTTAAGGACTAATAATAAATGCTAAAAAAAAAAAGGGGAAAAGAGAGGGGAGACATCCATGTATGTGTAGTATTTCTTGTGACCGAGTGAAGCAATGTAAAATGAGTCAAAAAAATATTGAGTCACAATCATATACTCACATCTGTAAGAATGCGAGGAGCCCACAAGGGGCTGTAGCAACATGTGAGGAGAGCTTATGGAGAATATTGCAAGGAGTGTGGCCATGCTCGATGCTTGTCGGGGCTTTTCCAGAAAATCCTTTGCTGCCATGTTATGGGATCCTGGTGCAGGATAAGTTGGAAGGATGTGGCCCCAAAATATGAAGTGGAGACCATGAGAGAAGGAAGATGCTTGAGAGCTTTTAATCTTCAAAGATTAGTATTTATTGGTCACAAAATATGCATCTAAAACACTAAACAGAAGTCACCAACTTGCGCAACTAGATTGATTGTTTATGGACTGTATATCAATACTCTTAAAGGAGCTCCAGTTATACTGGTAGTTAATCCAGAGAAGGGAAACATCCATGTAACAGCACTGTGAAGAAAACATAAAAACCAGGTGTACAGATCTAAGTGCAGTATAAAAGTAACTGTTTAATAAAGGTTAAAAGTAATGCACTTACAGGATATTTAAAAACATCTCACCTGTCAAACATCAGATGGATGTCCGATCTCAGCTGCTGATCCAAGACTGTTATAAGGATGGAAGGCACATGGAGAGAGCAGAGTCCAGGTCACCTGTTCAGGGAGACACAGATCTGATCCAATGGCTGAGCAGTGATGTAGCTGGTTCTCCTCAAGGCGGGATCACAGCTGCGGAGTACTTCCGGGGCGTCAGGTGTCAGACGTTGCTAGGCAACACATTTCAGAGGTTTACCTCCTTTGTCAAGCCTAAAAGTGGAGTGGGCAGAGTACTTTATATAGGGGAAGGAGGGAACATTGTGCATTTTGGCATCAACTAGAGGAAAGAAACCAAATTATTGGTATAATGCTGCTAGGTATGCATCATAATAGTGATAGGCAAAAACATAATAGTAATAGTAGTAATAATAATAAAAAATAATAATATAAAGATACAACTATAAAAGATCTATGCGAGGCAAGAAGAACATTGATCAATCATTGATGGAATGTTAGTGGAGGCTACATGTATGTACAATAGACATGGATGTAGACGCATTGCATGCATTTACAAAGCACAAAAGTGCAAAAGAATCTTTTCAGATTTTGGGGGAAAAATATTTACAAATTTGAGGGAAAAGATAATAAGCAGAACATAATGAGGGAATATCTATTGGCAATATGGGCCACATGTATGTATAGATGTATACGCATGTGCATGCTTGTTTTCCTTTACAGTGCATCTAAAACACTGTCAATGCATTTCACTATGCTGTACAGGCTACTTCTTTAGAACACTGCATAAAAATACAGAAATATACATGTGCAATTGAAATCATCATTCTAAAATAAAATAAGACATAAGGAGGTATTGATTTGAGGGAACAGGGCTGAAGTTACAGCTGTTCATAAATTGTATTCTGTTTAGTTTTTTTTTCTTCTTTAGACTGTATGGCTTTTATTATGATACCAGTAAGAATTTCACAACTTTCAACAGTTTGATGCAAAGCAGCAGCTTTAGGCCTCATTCACACTGTAATCAGCCGGCATGTACAGCTCCGTGCTGCGTGCACGGCCTCATCGGGCAGCTCCCAGGAAGAACAGGTGCTGCGTGTGATTAGTATGCAGTCCCTGTCCTTCTCTATGGGACTACACGGCCGTACGCCGCCCTACGCTCACCCGCCCTGCACGTCCGTGCGGGTGTCCATACTCGTACGCTGACAGGATGGATCCTGTCTGCGTCCAAGCCGGGACACCCGTACGGACCTGCACTTGGGGTGAGTGTAGGGCCTTTCTCGTGTGAATGAGGCCTTACTGCTTTTTCATATAATAAGCTCTCATGTGCAGCAAATTAACGTAATTTATTGTAAAAGAGGGTAATTGTGCACACTTGTTCTATACAGATTGCAAATTTAACTGTCACAGGCGGTGCGTGCCAGATGTTCCCGATGAATGTCTTGGAGAAGTTTCAAGTATTGATGGAGAAGGTAGTGTTGAGAGAATTTTTTAACAGTATTGTTTAACAATATACTGTATATCTGATATGCTTTAACTGTCTTTTGTTTTGTTTTCCTAAAAACTGCATCATAATACATAAGTCTATTCACCTATATTTACTAAGCCTTCATGCATTCTTTACGGACATGCCACAATATATAGCAACATTGTAATTCAAAAAAATATACTTTTATAATTAAATTTTGTTGTGCTGTTTTGTTTTGCTGTTTTTTGATCTCATGTCAAATGACTGTCCCAAGCCTGAGTGGATTGTTTACTTCCTCTAGCCCAGTAATCACTCTCTGGGACTGTTCTAAATTTCGGGAAGTTGACTTGGTGATAGACAGCAGCAGGAGGCTGATCTGTGTGAGACAACATGTATACACACAGCCAGGGGAATAACAAAAACTGATTAGGAGCTGAGATTTATATGAATGTATCATGCCTGGGCCAGAGTCTTGGTTTAGTAATTAGATGCTGAACCTGACTGATACCTGAACAAAGATACTGCCAGCCTTCTGGGGAGAAAGAAAGATTATAGGAGCTGTTTTACTTGCCAAAGTATTTGTATTTCTGTCTATCCAGTCTTAAGCTTTACAAAGGTTACCCTGTCTGGCATGGCAGGAGTGCAAAGTTTTCTCTGCAGCAGTTAAGAAACACCTACAGGTCTTGTCCTTCCCCCTGGCCTGCTGCACAGTGGATTGAAGAGGCTGATAACAGGTCACATTGAGAGACTTACACTAGCAGCGTTTAAAATAGCATTTAATTATGTATGACACAGGCCTTTTAAAAAAAATATATTTTTATTATCGTAATATGTACACAATACACATAACACGGGTATGGGTACATAGAATCATGTCACAAAACTGCGAAGATGGTACATATGGAAGACACCAAACACTTGCGTGTCCTCATAAAGCATGGAACCAAAATCTGATACCAACAGCATACAGTATAGATAACAATAGAAGTATGAAATATACTATGTCACTTAACTGTATTACTTTTATAGGGTAAATGCAATTCTGGAGGAATAACTCAATGGCAGAACTATTTGTTCATAACGTATCAAACAGTCATCATAAAATATATGCAAAAGATAGAAAAATAGAAGGGAGCAGAGATAGAGAAATAAGATTAGCAAATAGCAAGATTAGTAAGCTCAGGACAGGAGATAGGGGAGAGGGAGATGCCTGGAGCATCGCCCGTACACCCTGGCAGGAACGGCCCTATTGTGCTAGTTCTAGGAGCTAGTGCTAGGAGGGGGTGGGATATCCATAGCTATGTTTCTCCAAGCAAGGCGATCAACTGGGAATGTTGAGTACTGGGGTGGTTAGGGCCCGGGGTCCCCTCGACAGGAGATCAGCATAGCGATCAGTGTGTTGGAAATAAATCCATGCTTCCCAGGTGGACAAGAACTGCCTCTCTGTGTTTCTGAGGGTGGCTGTTAAGTCTTCCAGGGTGTATACCTGACAGGGTCTTTTTAACTAAAAAGCAGCCATTTCATGGGAGCTATTAATCTTATTTAAACATTGTTTCTGTACAACACAGATGGAGAAATCTTCAACCAAGAAGCTGAAGATGAGGTTGAAAATGATAGGCCAGTCAGTCTTAGTGGAAGTACACAAGAAGAAGAGAATTCTGTTAAGAGTAGAGATAGCACTGTTTGTCCATGTGAAAACCCAATGTTTGACAGGTAACTATGATGTTGTGCTACCCCTTTTTATTGTTTATTTCAATATTCAAAATTATTGTAGAATCACAAACTGTGTTTTGAAGTACAGTATACTGTATAGTAACATAGTAGGTGAGGTGATGGGCAAAGGTCCATCCAGTTCAACCTATGTATGTGTGAGTGTGTGTCTGTGTATAAACAAATGAAAAAAGTAGATTACATAACTACAGGTGTCAAGTGTTCATTACTTTTCTGATTCTGCAAAGTAAAACACCTTCACCAGGTGTTTTTAAGATGTAAAAAAATCCATCTTATCCTCCGGAGGAGCTCATATCCTTTTTTGCCTCAGTGCAGTCTTAGGCTAGCACATAAACAAAACAAATCCCATTAGATCTGCTCCTCCCGTTAGTTTCCAAACTAAACGTTTGGGCCGAATTCACTGTTGCTTTGCATTACCACGCACATGGTCAGGCAGCCTTTTCATTTTGAATGGGCTGTCAATGCACACAAACAGTAATCATAGTGGATTTGCAGTTTCTTTTTCAATGCAGTGTATCACAAAACACAAATGGTTCACACTTGTGTGTTGTGGTGCTTTGGGAATATGCATTGGCCTGCCTTTCAAAATGGATTGCACCACAACACAGCACACCGCATATCATGCCATACATTGCATTGTGGGAACTCATGATAAAATGTCCATTGCTCTAAGGCACAGATGTGAATTTTTGCATCTGCATGGGGATGATAGTGTTTTTGAGTTATAGTGGTTTTGGTACAGTTTTTTTTTTTATATATCCTTTTTGAATTATGTTTGAATTCTGGCAGGGTATGACACCATTATGGTATCATAGGTTCCTGGTGTACTTGGTTTTTAGGTTGTATATATTTGTGGCTGGGTGTTATGGAAGTGTCACTATGTTGCCCTGAGGAAGGGACCATGCATGGTCTCGAAATGTTGGCTATAAAAGACAAGTATAGTCAGGTTTATTCAATAAAACGAAACAGGATCAATGATAAACTGGACATTTTGCAATTGTTCACAGACTTTTCTGACTAAACAAAATATCGGACGCTTTGACCTTAAAACTCTTTTGAAATCAATGTATTTCTATGTAACAAGAGCAGACAGTGGCTAAGTTCTTTTTCCTATGATACTAAACTTGAGTGTGCTTAAGCAGGTGTGTTGGGGATATGTGTTGGTCTGCCATTCAAAATGAATTGCACCATAACACAGCACACCCAATATCATGTCTTAGCCTGCATTGCAGGAATGTACATTCCTGCAATGCACAAATATGACAAGTTATATTTGCTGTGATGATAAGTAGACACTCCTGCCTACTAAGCAGAATTAGCCAGCAACACAGATTACACCATGCAGTCGTAAGACGTGCTACCCTTACTTAGTAGACTAGCTACAGACTCAGGATAGTTGATGTCAGGTTTAGATTTAGTTATGAATAGCAATTTTAGGTTTCCTGAAATTGCAGGAGCCTTTTTGTTGCGTTTGCCACGTGGATATGTGGATATGATCCCATTGAAATCAATGGGGCCACACAGCAAATGCACCACGCAAACGTGCACGAACGCATGTTCCCGGGACGTGCAGGTGTGAACCAGGCCTTAGTTGGTAACAGCTGAAAAGATGACTAAAGGCAGTGTAAGGAAGCTGTTTATGTGAGAAAATATATTTGATTGGAGGCACCTCAGGAGTTGTTCCAAAATATTTATCTTATAACAAAGAATTTGTAAGAGATACTGCTTTTTTTAATACTTTTCACAGCCATGTCTGATAACATAATGTTGCCATTGCCAATTATTCTATGAGCACTTTGCTAAAACTCTTATCTCTCTTATTCAATTAGTAACTTCATTCCCCTTATGAGAGTTGTACAGTCTGTGCGATATAACAAAAAGAAAAACAGCTGTGTATTGATGGAAGGTTGGTTGGTCCATTTCACCAGCAAAGACAGTATGGTGAGTGAACAGACAATTACTGCTTTTTAGAGAATTTCAACACACAATCCATAGTGTAGTAGATTTACATGCATTACATAATTACATATCGTTTTGTCAAGTGTTGTCACATAACTATGGTTGCCCATAATACATACTTTTGATGTACATTACTTGATGAATAATTCTATAAAAGGTAAAATATAATCAAATATATTCACTAAAATAATAATTTTTTGCACATAATGTATTATAGAGAATGTAGGCCATAATGTGATTTAACAGGATCTCCTTATTGTGTAATTTTGTTACTCATTTTTGTGTACTCCTGTCCAACATTCAAAACTTTGCCCAGCGTATATGTTGGTGATTGCAGCTCTAATCTTTCCTGAAAAGGAATATACTCTTACTAAATCAACCCCAAACTGTTGTTTAGCTTTTTATTCTGCATCATATTCTCTGGGATAAATTGCTTTAAAGAAGATCTGAATTGTGATACCATAACCAAATAGGCAAGAAGAATGCAAATGACTTTAAGTGATATTAAAGTCAAAAAGTATTTAAAAGAACTATGGGGTATCCCTTTTTATCCCATAGTTCTCTTAAGGGTCACGGGAGGACATGTACTAACGTCCTCCCGTGACCCAAAGCTCCGTATATAGCGAGCTACAGTTAGCTACATACTGAGGGCGGCGTACAACTGTTCGTTGTATCCTATTTTAGGTGGGCATCTTTCCCTTGCAGGGTCCAATGGAGCCACCCTTGTAGAGCCACTAATAATCTGTGTGTCTACAAACACACACAAACAGTAAGGCAAGCCACCTCCCTGCTCCCCACTCCTCCCCTCTCCCTTGTCCAAACTAGTAAATGCACAGCTTCTGGAGATTGCTCTGCCCCTTGTGACCCTGTATTGGACAGGAAGGTCAGGAAAGCTGAGGTGAAAGGGGTGGAGCCAGCTGTTCAGAACATGACTGCAGTTGGCTGGGCACTAATGTATAGAAAATACTTTGCTGGGCAATGATATTTATTTTATCTGAATTTATTATTGAAAAAAGTTTGAGAGTTTAATACTACTGTAACCCCTTCATGACCGAGGCTTTTCCCCCCCATTTTTTGTGTACATGTTATAATCCACATTTTAGGACTGAAAATTACTTAAAACCCCCAAACATGATATATTTTTGAAAGCCAAGACCCTATAGAAAAAAATGGTGGCAAATGTTTATGTAACACGATAGTTGCGCAACTCCTTATCAAACCCCCCAAAATTTAATGATAAATGCCCCAATACCCATTTTTAACAAAAATATAAAATATGAGGTTACAATGAGTAAATAGATACCCAACATACCCACAATAAAAATTGTGTGCGTCCATGAAACTGCGACAAAATTCAGTACCCCAAAAAGTCCATTGACGATGCTTTAAAAGCCCCTACTGGTCATCAGTTTAGAGATACGTGTAAATATTGGGCCAAGAATTATTGCACTCACTCCGACGTATGCGGCAATACCCAACATGTATATGGCGATCAGCATTTGCATACATAGGCGCACATGACGTGTGTTTACGTGAAGACGCGCGTGCTCGCGGGGTCCTTTACATTTTTTACATTATTTTTACATTTATTCTATTTAATAGACTGTTGTAAAGCCGACAGTTGGATGCTTCTACTGTAAAGCCGACAGTTGGATGCTTCTACTGTAAAGCCGACAGTTGGCTTTAGTGCTTAAACAGAGTCCCAGCGGCTTTCTATTTAAATGGGCCCGATGCCAATGACGTACTATGGACGTCACTGTCCATTAAGGGGTTAATCATGCCATTCGCTTATATAATTTGTTGTGTATTCATTCAATTGTTTTTGTTGCTTATAAAAATAACTGAATGCAGTTATAATTGTGTCTGTTGGAAGATGCTCACATCATTCATATAACCTCCTCTCTAGTCACGTTCTGAGGTCCTAAATACGCCTTGAAAGGGTGGAATGATGGAATGATTCACTAGTGTATTATAATGGTCTAATAATGCAATGGGGAGATTTGCCCACTGGTGTTCCCAGTTTTGTCCAATCACAGCCATTATTTGTGGGTTCTGTGTTAAAGAGCATCTACAGGTAAAACTTTCATTTTTAATTTTGGGTACAGTTGAGAAGGGTTAGAATACCGGTCACTTTTTACAGCTGTCTGTGGCCTTCTTGGGGATTTTTTCTCTTTGTTCATTGTCACAGGACAGGAAATGAGGGGAAATCCCAGAGGGACACATACTTCTTAAAAAGTTCACTCATTTTTGTAGAGTAAAGGAAGGCTTTTAATTGCTGTCTGTGATTCTACTGGATATTTTTCCTTACTTTCTCTCTGAGTGACCACATTGTCACATGACATTAAGTGAAGAAAAATTCCTTAATGGGGCCTGAGACAGCAATACAAATTTGAGCGTTCAAACCCTTCACAACCCTATCCAAAACTAACAAAAACATTGTGGCTGAATATGTACTTTGATATGTGCACTGTCTACCTGCTAAATTAGACAAGATACAATTGTGTGGGGGAGGGGGAATCTGGGATTGGATACTAGTCTGGATGTTGATTGGATGTTGTCATCAGTATTTTTCTTTTACAGAGGAAAAAGCATTGCTGGCAACTGGACAGTAAATGTATCACATTATTCCATAATGAGGCTGGTGGCAAGTATTACAAGGTTTGAAAATGTTATTATATGTAAAGTAGTATTGTTGCATTTATAGTGGATCACTTACAGCACCATTACATCTCTGCCAGATCATTACATGTTTATATTTCATGACACCATACCAAACCATTACATTTCCACACTTGACTACACTATGCCAGGTCATGCATGTTCATATATATAAACACCATACCAAACCATTACATTTCCACACATGAGTACACCATACCCGATTACTGTATGTTTATACACAAGATTACAATATACAGCCATTATATTACCATGCCTAAACATTTCATTGTCATACCTGACTGTTACACCATAAAAAAATCTTGTCAGCACATCTATATAATAGACTATTACATAATAACACGAGGAGTGATGAGCACATCTTTACATTTGCCTGCTTCATATCTGCATTTACCTGCTTCAGGGCTTGTTCACACCAAATGCAGACCAGATCTGCATGAGTTTCTGCACATGCAGTGCAGTGTGTTTTTGCCGGCGTTTCAGGCCATTTTGTAAAAAAGTTTTTTTTCTTTAGCCTAAAATGGGCTTTCAGTGCGTTCCTGGGCGTTTGCATGCGCTTTGGTGCGTTCCAGAGCAGAAAAAATAAGACATGCTGCAGTTTTTCCACATGGTCTGGAACTGAACGCTCTGGTGTGAACTAGAGCCCAAAATACCAATGGAATACATTGGATGCAGTTTTGATGCGTTCTGTAACTGCTCTGCTCTGCATCTGCTCTGCACTTGGTGTGAACTAGCCCACATATGTGAAAGTTACACTGTCATTTAACCTAATTGCTAGTTATGAGCAAACTAATTAGTCACACCTCTCCCACACAATGTTGGCTTGGCACATCAACTATATAAACTAGTGTATGCATAGCAAGAAGGTCTCAAGTGAGTTTGCAAATTCCTGTTCACACAACTTACAACTTTGGTTTGATGTTAGAAAATCAAGAACAAGGATATTGCCTTAATAAACTGTTAAAAGTGTCTATCGTAACGCATGCAATTTCTTTACAATTGAAATAAAACATAAAATAACTCATATTAAAAAAACTCAGTCTCCTATGTTTTTTAGTTTGGTGGCTGGAGTGCTTTTTTATTTAAAAAAAAAAAAAAAATTAAAGAAATAAAACATGGCTGATCCAAAGCTAACAAACATAACTGTGTAAGCGGATCTAACAAACTAACTGGGTTTTTAATGGAATGCTCTGTACGTGTTTTATTCTTTTGTGTGTAAGAAAGATGTTTGCCTAAATTCATTCAGTCTATGACTTATAAACTTTGAAGGTTAAGTATAGTATCTACAAACATACATCTTCTAGATTATAAATTCGATACATCTATCGTAGGGTGCATAAGGTTGGTCCAAGCATGGCAAGGTAAAGTATGATTTTCTCCCTTTGTCGGTGTGCACTGGAGGAAGAGTACTTGATATGTTGTGTAACAGCGAGGACCTTGCCACTTTAAATTACAGTGCCACTCCTTGATATGGACTTTAAAAATAAGAATAAAGGTACTGGGAACCAGAACATATTTTTACTAACTAAAAGCAATGTTAATGACAGTTGCAGGCTTGAAACTTGGGTATGCTGCAGGAGATCCAGGGCACCTGCTCCAGGTGCACGAGCCTATTGTAGCTACTAGGGATGAGCTTAGGTTCAGCTAGAACCTGGTTCAAGCCTGAGCTCCTCCAAAACTGGAAATGCTATGGAGCCACCCACCCAATCAGCTGTGGCCCAGGGCATTCCCAGCCTCACAGCTGTACATAAACAAAGGAGCAGGATGTCTATGCTGAAATCATTGACCAAATATAGCCATGTGGTCATATAAGGTCATTGATGTCACAGCATTTCACCCTTTGCTTACGTGCAGCTGTGGGCGGGGAATTCCTGGGCCCCAGCTTATTGGGCAGTAGTGCAAGGAGCTTCCTTCTGCGTTCGGAGGAGCTCAGGATCAGACTGAACCTGAGCTTATCCCTAGTTGCTACTGGTACACTGTTTTATAAATCTGCACACCAAGCTATACTATTCATGATCTTGGATCAAATATCCGGGGATCTGGCAGTAGCTTTTTTTTTTGCTGACTTTTGAATCTTGGACAAATGAGGGTGGCACTGTGTTGCCCATTTTCCTCCACTCAGTTTGGGGTTTATCACACCCCATTCTCCCCACTTAGTTTGGGGTTCATCAGACTTAATTATCATTACACTAATTACATCCTATATTAAATCATTACATCTCCTGAACAGTATGTGCTATCTATGATTGTTACTCTTATGCTACTGTTAGCAACTTCACTTTAACATTAAAGTATACTACTTCCATTGGACAATTAAGAGTCTTTATGTCTCTGCAATACCCAATCATTTGTTTTTCATATCTGACTGTATCATATTTTATCATTGGCAATTGACATTTCTCCCAATCATATTGTAGGAAATACCCCTGTCTGATATCCTGCACATTGAGACATTTGGTAGTAAGGGCAATGGGCTCCCAAAAGATAGCGAGATCCCTCACTGCTTTGAGCTACTAACGGATACTTTGGTCTATTATGTGGGAGAGCGACGTTCCACTCCACAGGGTGGACATAATAGAGCAGATTCTGGAGACATCTGGTACAGAATGATCCGACAAGCCCTGATGCCAGGCATGGATGAAAGCAGCACTCCAAAGGAGTCAACTCAGTCAAATATTCCAGGTGAGATGTTCTGTAATCATAACCAATTCAATTTGTTTTGTATTAGACTTGTGCATCCCACTTTTACAGCCAGTTGCTAAAAGGTTAAAAACAGAAACAAATATTTATCAGTGATGCTACCACAAAAATCTTTGTTATTTTTCTGATTGAACCTGTGACATAAATAATCGGGTGCTAGGTAAGAGATTACACATTTTGACTTGGTGGGTAGAGATTAAATAGATTAAATAGATAAAGTTCAATGAATATCTGACAAATAATGCCATTTCATAAATCTAAAACAGCTATTATATTCTGCTAAAAAGCATATGCAGTGAATTGACAGTCATGTTATATGATGATAAAACCGGCCGTACTAGAAGGATACATGGTTAAAAGAACCTAAGATCTGTTACATCATGAATTTTATTAGCACTGTAAATACAAGTTTATCCTCTTTATTCTATAATATTTGTCAACCTGGTTGCAAAAATAAATAAATTCAGCACTCAGTGTGCCGACAAACTTAGGCCCCTTTCACACAGCTGATCAGGAGGGGATCCGCTGTGACATCCATGTCCGTCCAGTTTCTTCCTCTTGTGATGGAGGAGAGAACTAAAACTTTTGGAACCCATGCTGTTCTACGGGAAGTCGGATGTAAATGGACATGTGTCCGTTTACATCAGATTACCCCCGATCTAGCACGATCAGGTCAGGCAAAATGGATCATTGCTCTGTTTGTTTTTTGGGACCTGGCCAGAGTCGGGGATAACCGAGTTTAAAAGGACACACATCCGTTTAGACCCAGCTGCCCATAGACTAGCATTAGGCATCCGATCCAGTTCGCCTGAAAAACTGATATGCAGACCCAATCTAACCTCCCGTGTGAAAGGGGCCTTAAAGAATCAAAAACTCACTCTTGTAGCTGAGTTTTCGCCAGGAACAGATAAATATGTAGCATTAGAAATATTATATAGCTAACTGGGGAGGGAATAGGTAATTAAAATTTTCCATTTATCAATTGTCAATATGTCCATCTTTATCTACTTTATTTTCCATAGGAGCATATCTTGAACCACATCAAAATTTGGTAAGTCAATTTATATTACATAAAGCATTTATATACTAGCTTTGTATTTTGTTTTTAAATAAAACTCTGCATGATAACAACTTTTTTTACATTTGTAGTCATTTGTGTCTTGGGTACATGCCACCTTCTGATTTATATTGGGCTAGATAATTCAGTGTGAATTTAGAAACTTTTAGGTCATTGTCTATTGTCTTTATTTCTGCTAAATATTACTTCCAGTTGGATCAATTAGATCTTTCAGAAGTCTATTAAAAAGTTTCAGAAAAAAAATCTTTCCTTGAAGATTGTGTCCCATCACATTTATCAGTATAGTTAAATCTCTAAACAAGACTTTGTCAACCTTTTCACCATGGAGGGACCCTTGGAAACATTGTCAGGTCTCAGCGAACCCCTGCTTAAAATTACTGTAGATACAACAATATAAGAATAAAGAACGTGACATATCTAGAGTATATGACACCCAAAGTGGATCGTTTGAAAAACACCATCCTTCTCTAGACCATAAAATTATTTTCAGCAATAACTGTGAAATAAAACAAATAATAGTAATGGCCAGAAAAGAAACGAACTGTAAAAATTGTCTCCTTAACTTGGGGAGGGGGTCAATGGAGAAATATTAAACTCCATATTAGCCCTCCTTTGCAGTGGTTTAGTAGTGGAAATGATCACTCAGGTAAAACACTATCACTGCTAGGCTGCTAAGGCTTGGTATTTCTTCTGCAAGTGAATTGGACTGTGAAAACAGGTCTAATATCTGTCATTCATGACAGTCTAGTAGTTCTGTCACCCTTCAATTTGAATCTATAGCTAGTAGTGTGCCCTTCTTTGCCCATTGGTTGGCTATGCAGTGAACGTTTAATACATTTAACACCTTCCTCTTAGCTGTTAGGTCAATTTTACAGAATGACAAATTAGCAAAATGACAAATTAGCAAACAATAAGGCAATTCTAGAAATTAGATTTCTCTGGGAGTTTACTTCAACATACAACAAAAAACAATGTGAAAAAGTAACTTATAAGAACTACCGATTTAAACAGAACCTATAAAATACTTGCCACTGCTGTACTCTCCCTCTGAAAATGTTGGTTGCCATGTTCAGTCAATGGCTTTAACATTTTCAGAGTGAGTAATTTAAACAAATATGCAGAATAAGCAGTCTGACTTTACTGATAAGCATGCTTGTATTGGGTCAGTGTTTAAAGCCATTAGCGTTTTATTCTGAAGTAAATTTTGTCTGTAACGCTGCATTTGTGTATCTTAAATAAATGACGGTATTTATTTAAAATTTTATATCCGATTAATCGAAGCTAATAATTGGCTAACTAATCGTTGATGAAAATAATTGTTAGCTGCAGCCCTACTTAAATGATAACCATACTTTTAAGGCTTATTTAGATGGGTGTGCACATCTGTACACCGTGCACATCCATAAAATTACCCAATTCCGGAAGGATAGGTGTTGTGTGTAATTGAGTGTAGCAGCCTATTATCCCCTATTGGAGGATGTAACTGCACTCAATTACACGTGGTCACACTCACATCTGCGCGGGTCTGGGCGTCTGCACTAGGACGCAATCCTCTTCCGGGTTTGGGTCGCTTTATGGGCGTGCATGCCCATGTCAAGGAGCCCTAATACAAAATATGTATTTTAAATGTATAATATGTCCCAGGCAGACATGCTTCCTTTCGAACATTAGATTACCACCCGGTATTCTACAAATAACCCCACATTATGAGGAAGACCCCACCTTCCACTCTGAAGTATGCCGAGTAGAGTGGGAAACTCCAAAAAATGTGGGCAGGCCACATTTTTACAGTTATTTTTTACTAGCTGTATGTAAAATAATGTACCTTAGAGTCCTATACCTAGAAATTTTTCATGTAGACTTTGCAACAACTGCTTTTTCTGTAATTGATTTTGTTGTTTTTTTTCCTCCCAGGATATCAGTCACATGTACCAGATCTTCCCAGATGAGGTTCTTGGTTCAGGGCAATTTGGTATTGTCCATGGTGGTAAGACATTTCATTTCCTTCCTCTTTTATAGCAGATTTCCTTTAATTGAGGAATAAAGACTTGTGTTTTTTTTTGTAAAGCCATGTCAATGCTTTTCATTTTAAGAATGCAGTGTTCTACATCTTAGTGTTTTAGGGGAGACATAACATAACCTTAGTGGTTATGCTTTCTGTTTAATTTCATAATTTCATTTAATTTAATTTTTCCGTTTAATTTCATTTTTGGACATCACTATCACTGTTTTATCAGAATAGCAGAAAATAGATTGTTATCCTGATAGCTTGAAAAGGAGTATACAGAATAAATGATAAGGATCAGGGTGGACGAAGGCAGCTGTTTCCCTAAGAAAGGCAGGCAGGGAAACACCTGCTTATCATTATTTGGGACATGTCATTTTATATCTTGTGACCTGGCCAACTGTCATGCATGCATGATCAATTACATCTGTATTAAAAGCACTTTCACTTTATTATATAAGCATGACAACGGAAAACAGACAAGCTTCCGTTTCACATAGCAAGTGAAAGGGCTTTTAATACGAAGACCTGTGTATAGATGTACTATTGTTTTTATTGTTTAAAAACTATTCATTTTTGCATGCTTGAAGTTCCTCCGAGTTGCCAAAGGAGGTTTCATCCTAGCACCAGAGAGTGGACAGTTTGTGCACTTGTGAACTACAAGTCATTTCAGATAATTACATCCTTCACTTTTGATTGGTTCCATTGCAACAAGTTGGAAAATATGTGCACTATTGTGGCACCTGTCAATTACCACTTAAATTAGTACTGAATGCCCAGCCTCATCTTAAAAGGAGAACTATGGGGTCAGTGTTTTTCCCCATAGTTCTCCTTAGGGTAACGGGAGGACACAAACTAGCGTCCTCCCGTTACCCTAAGCTCAGTATACCGCGAGCTACAGCTCGCGGTATACTGAGACGCCGCAGCCGGAGCGGATCCCGACGTAGATGACGGTATCCGCCCAGCTGCGTGAGTGACAGCTGGATCTGCCTATCTAGAGGCAGAGCCAGCTGTACCCGCCCCCTCCCCTGTCCGTTCCGCCAGTCAGCGCTGGCAGATCGGAGCGGGGAGAGGGGAATCCAGCCCCTCCCCCTGTCACGGCAGAGAGCCGTGACAGGATCGAGAGGTGAGTGAATCCGGTATGTGTTTGCTCACCTCCCGATCTACTGAGCCGACCTGTGACAGTCTCATTGTCACAGGTCGGCTAGAACTATGAGGTGAGTGGAAATCACTCATCTCATAGTTCTCCTTTTAATATGACATTTGGCCTTCAATTTGAGAATGGATTGGGCTGTTTATGGTCATCTGTAAAGTTTGATAAAAATGTGTTTATATAACTAGGAATCTTTAGTATACTATATAAAGATAACAAACTAGGATATGGATCTACTTTTTAGGTAAAAAGTGACGGTTATTATCATCCAAGTCCAATTGGATTTGAAAATGACACTCACCTGCCTAGAATAAAAATCCTTTTCTTGTGTTAAAGCTTTCTGAATTGAGCCTATTGTCTACTATGTGCCTTGTAAGCGGAAGCTGCCAGTTGTATGGCTATAGTAAAGGTAAATCTCACAATAACAGCTTTAGTTTGAGGATTCATATCTCATATTTATGAATGATCACAATCACATATTCTGGCAAATGTGTGATAGAGCTAGACCGATGAGAGTATAAATATAGGTTCTAATGAATAAAGTTTTCCTTGCCGGAGTTAAGCTTATGGTAAAGTAAGCATCCAGATACAATACATAGTAATAAATAATAAAATGTGTTCCTTGCCGGAAGTAAGCTTATGGTAAAGTAAATATCCAGATACAATACATAGTAATTGTATTGTAAAATAGAAATATTAGCAATGAACTTTCAATGAATGAAATGGTCCATATTAAAAGAAAACTATATAGCCTATGGAGCCTTAAATTAGGACTAGATTAAAGCTGTGGAGCATAAATTAATGCATTTGAATTGAAGAATGACAGGGCTGCATAGGGGTGTTATATGGGCTAAGAGATAAATGAGCTGACAGAGTTGTAGTGAAGTATTGTGCAGGTGGGGATAGATAGCCTTTGGGATGAACTAGTGGCAAAAAGCTGGGAGATGGAGTACTACGTAAAGAAAGCAGCATTAGGGAGAAAACATGAAACCAGGTGAAAAGAATATGCTAAGAGAAATGTGCATTGCGATGAGGTAGAGGGATAGTGTGTACGTTTGGGAATCAGTCACTGCAACTGGTGTGAACAAGCTCTAAGAGTGACAGTGGCACTGTGAAGTAAAGGGAAGATTTACAATTAACAGAAAGTGACCGAGTGGAACAGCATGAAGTGAGAGATAGAATTGATAATAGCAGAGGGTGCTGTAAAACTCAGGAGGGTGTGCAGGGGTAACTGGGTTAATCTCTCTGCCCATATAACACCCCTATGTTGCTCTGTCATTCTTCAGTTTTAATTAATTAATGTATGTACTACAGCAGGGGTCTCAAATGACCTGGGGGCCACTGGGCATGTATTCTTCTTCTATGGTGTAAGACCAAGTGCATCCCATCACACTCTTGACCGGAAACGCCCCAAAATAGGGTGGGTGCGGCAGTGATAGCAAATGCCTCCGCAGATCATATACAGATTAAGTAGAAAGTCACTCTCACTCCAAAGCGATGCCAAGTCAATCTCTTTATTGACTATGTTAGTGTAACATCTCAAAGCAATGTTTCAGAACCTAGTGGTCCCTTCTTCAGGCAAACAGAAAATGAACACCAACAGTATAAAGTGACATAAATACATAAAGTGGCAGCCAATAAACCAATCAAAAGAGATCACATCCCCCCCTCTGACATCACGATAACGTCACATTCCCGCCAATGATATGTAAACACCCTGCAACATATGTGGACAATCATATGGCATATCTGATCGTATGCATACCTTGAACAAATATGTGTGCTCATCTTGTTGTGCCAGCAACATTTTGTTGGATGCTGCGATTGCCATGCTGATCAGAGGCTCTATCCGCCCCTTCTTCTATGGTGGCCGCATGAGTAGAGATAGCCAAGAGAGAGAGAGAGAGAGTGAGGAGAGACAGCCAAGAAAGAGAGGAGAAAGAGCAAGGAGAGACAGGCAGGAGAGACAGTGAGGAGAGACAGCCAGGGGAGAGAGCAAGGAGAGACACCCAGGAGGATTACCGAGGAGAGACAGGAGAGTGAGGAGAGACAGCCAGGAGAAAGACCCAGGAGAGAGCGAGTAGAGATGGCCAGGAGAGAGAGCAGGTAGAGACAGCTAGGGGAGGGTGAGGAGAGACAGCCAGGAGGATTAGCAAGGAGAGAAAGTCAGGAGAGAGAGTGAGGAGAGACACCCAGGATAGAGAGCGAGTAGAGACAGCCAGGGGAGAGAGCAAGGAGAGACAGCCAGGAGAATTAGCGAGGAGAGACAGCTAGGAGAATTAGCGAGGATAGACAGACAGGAGAGAGAGTGAGGATAGACAGCCAGGTGAGAGAGTGAGGATAGACAGCCAGGAGAGAGAGAGTGAGGATAGACAGCCAGGAGAGAGAGTGAGGATAGACAGCCAGGAGTGAGATTGAGGAGAGACAGCCAGGAGTAAGATTGAGGAAAGACAGCCAGGAGTGAAAGTGAGGAGAGACAGCCAGGGGAGAGAGAGGAAAGATAGCCAGGAGAGAGAGAGGAGGAGGGATAGCGAGCAACACATCTGCCTGAAGCAGAACCCCTGTGCCCTTCAAGACTTATCTGCGCCCTGTGCTTCAAGCACTTCCTTGCTCCCTGAGTCCCAGCATCCCTCCATGTCCCGTGTCTCTTCCATGCACTCAAGTTGGAACACCAGGACCCCATGGTTGCCCCTGTCTGCCTGACATAGTCTTGTGTCTGGGTTTCAGCTGGCCTGAAACCCGGACACAGATACATAACTCAAAACCCACCCTGTCCGGGAAAATCAATTGGCAATCCTAGCTATGCAAAATGTAAAATCCCCCTCTCTGTCCCCTTGTCTGAGCAGTGTGGGATGGACAGGAGAGTGACTGAAAAGGCTGTGCAGTTAGGGTAGGGTCTAAGAGAGTTGAGGGGATCGATTTAGGCTGAGAGGGGCCTATCTGTCCTTATCTTCGCTTAAATTACCCCTTCTTTCTTGACACTGCTCTTAAAGAGGAACTTTACCCATATCTTCAAAATAACAACAAAGACACCTTTAAAATTGTTAAGTAATGGCAATTTACAAACAGATACTTATAGATAATTGCAGGCTATTTATTCTTTTTCTCTTCATTCTTCTAACAGTGGCTTTTTAACTAAGGGCAGGTTACTAGATCTCCATTTACTTCCTGGAACTCTTGCACATGTGATTGGGACATGTGACAATTCACATAATCTCAGGGGAGGAAAATGCCTTTCCCTCAGAGCCTGTGAGATTACAGATGGGATTTCCCAGCAATGCTTTGCTGATGTAACCCTCCCAGAATGCAACACTTGGGCACATTACATCAATTTTGCCAAAGAGCCAGGAAGTAGAAAACAAGAAATTGTAAGTAAAATTAAAATATGTTTGTTTAACTAATGAATGTAAGATGATTTCATATCAGCATGCAGACCTACATGCTGATGTGATTTTTAGCCAAAGGGGGTAAAGATACACCTTAACAAATACATATTTGATATGAATTTCAAGCGAGATGGTTTGTACCGGCCACTCCTAACCGCACACCCTCAATCAGATATTGGATTTTTCTAGAACAGCTGTATTAGAATTACCATATAAAATAAATATGTTTAGGCGTGCAAGATGGTGATGCATAATAGTACTATATTCCTCATATGCTGTAGACATGATTGATTCTTGAAACACAAAAATATTTATGTTTATATATGTGTGTTATTTTTTTTAAAGGAAAGCATCGGAAAAGTGGGAGAGATGTTGCAATAAAAATTATTGACAAACTCAGATTTCCCAGTAGACAAGAAAATCAACTCAGAAATGAGGTAGCCATATTACAGGTAATACTAGATCACTTTAACTTTTTTTTTTCAATGTCTTTAAAACAACTGAACAACTCCTGTTGTGTTGATGTGATGAATAAAAGTGGGCAGAAAAGCCCTTTAAAGCAAATTGGCAAGTGGATGGAGTCCTTGAAAGCTCTAGCCTTAAAGTGAAACCTCACAATTGGTGCTCAGAGCAGGCACAAGGTGAAGTCTGCTGATCCCTTCTAAAGAATAAATACTTCTTTGATTAACTGTATGCTTTGTTCTAAAGACCAGTTGACTGAAACAGAACATTGTGTATAGCACGCGTTCTCTACCCGAAAGGGGTGAAGGGAAAACAACCCTTAAAGTGGCCATGCGCCTGTTTGCTGCAACCATGCAAATTGCTGTGGACTTTGTAAGTGGGGTACTTGTAATACTGGGTGCCTAAAAAAAGAAGGACATTGCTAAAATGAGAGAGATAATTCTGTAGTGAGCCCAACATGTACCTAAACAGAATCCGCAAACTTTAGGAGACTGCCGTGGACTAGTGTAATCGTTATTTGACAGTGGCGACCCCAGCTACAGAAAGTGGCAAGCTAGCTATTACCATGAAAGAGCAGAAGGCTGTCCAGAAGCATGGGGCACGTGCTGTTGTCAGTAGCAATACTAATGATGCTTAAGACTTTTTAATTGTCCTGGAGAGGGTTGCTGTGCAGGAAGCTTTTCCCAAAGAACAAGGGTCTGAATTGCAGCCCCTGCTGGTGTTAAAGTATCAGGCGACCTACTTGGATGACGGTTTGATTTTACAGTGATTATAACAAGTTGAAATGTGAACCTGAAAATATGATGTTTAAAAGGCTCTATTCATATGCCTTGAGTTGTGTAAACACAGTGCTGATCTAAATGTGGCAGGGGTGAGTACAAAAGTGTGCAATATTTCCTAGAAGCAGTATCAGGTGCTAGAAACCTCCAAGGGGCCTAAAGTGCCAGAGCTAGAGGTTTCGCAGGTTCTGCCCTGGCTGGCAAAAGTGTTCCCTTAAAGAGTTAAGAGAATATGTATGAGTAAAACTAAGTACCACAGGCTCACAAGGTGTGGTGTAGCAAACTGACAGTGTCTCTGGCGAGGTTGTGGGGGGAACCCGCTGCTGCAGAATCAAAGAGGAGGTTAGCGGATAAGGCACAAAGCAACGCTTTGGGAGAGCACCAGGCTATTGTTCCGGTTGTGGAGGAGGCTATCTCAAGTTCTTCTTAGGAGGTCGTTTTGAGAAACGCATCGTCTAGAACTTCAGCAAATGTGTCTCTCCACAGGCTTAACCACATGTGGGTCCCCAGAGGCGCTTAATCATGGATTATGGGGCTCGCCTTATGACAGACTTCTTGGCAGGAAGTTACAAATTGTTTTATGTTCAGCTGCTATTTACTTCTGTGTATCCTCCTTTGATGAGTGGGCTGGTACTGCGGACTACCAATAATTGGATCAATGTGTTACAAGTGATACTGAACAAAGGGGGTTAAGATTAGGACTGTTTGATTTCATGTTTGTAAATAATGATACAAGGGTTACCATCAAGTAGCTTCAGGTAGTTTGGTATATGAAGAACCCCCTAGAGAACTTACACAGAACTAGCGAAGCAGAGGTATTGGAGGCCTCTCCATGTAACAGTGTATCGGCAAACATTTTTTGCTTTTGAAGTCTCAGGTGCTGCTGACCAGTTTAAAGGAAAGGGAACACTCACTGCAGCATCAGACATACAGGGTAAGGCAGAGCCAAGAAATAATGAGGAAACAGCAGAAATCCAGTCTAAAACTCTGGAAGGGGTTAAAGTACCTATATGGCAAAATAAAGAGGTATTGGGGAAAAGTCATGGAGTGCACAAGTATGAATAAAGAGATTGGGATCACTGGTCCACAAGTAGGTTTCTGTAGTAAATCTCCTAAATCCCTGAAGTGCAGGGCAAATTGGTAAATCTTGGATGTAGAGACTGGGGAGTCATGCCAGAAGAGTTCTCACTGGGTAAAATTTGAGAGATTTGGTTGCCATTGGTAAATGTCAGCTGTCAGGAAAGCTGCCTGCAGAGTATTTGATGACAAATGAGTCAGGGTTTCGTAAACTTGCCGTGGGAGATAACCACTCATCCATGTGTAGCGAGGTGGCCGATTGCTCCTTAGTAAAAGCAGATATAGAAAAAGGTACGTGGCTGACAACTAGGAGAGTGTCTGTTCTGGCCCTGAAACAAGGCACTTTGACAAGGCTGTACAAAAGTGGTCTCCAGCACACTTTCAAGCTAGTCAGAAAAACACTGAACTAAACTGTTTAAAAGAGAAGTGCGGGGAGAGTAAAACATACTCTTTGCACAGCTTAGAGCTGCTTTGAGGCACTGCTATCGAGAGCCGAGTGATCATGTAACCACTGAGTGATCATGTAACCGCTGATTGCTCAGCTTACAGTCTCTTCTCTCTGCAGAGAGCAGTGACTGTCAGCCACCGCTCACAGCAGGCATCCCCCTCCCCTCTCTGTTTCTCCAGCACTGACTAGGGGGGACAGACAGTGGAGGAGGCATGAAAGGCTGGCTCTAGCTCTAGAGAGGCAGAGCCAGCTGTCACTTAGGCAGCCAGGAAGGATCCCAACAATATTGTGTGGCAAGTCTCTGCACTGTCAGCTAATAGCGGGCATCAGCTACTAACTGCTGACTTTGGGTCACAGGAGTACATTAGTAAATATATGTGATCCAAAAGACAAGTAAAGCCTAAAAAAGATTAAAAATAGAGGCTTTATTTAGTTGCATACATTTGCAAATACTGTATATAGGGAAGCCGCACTTCCTCATCAAGGCACCCACACTTCCTCATCAAGGCACCCACACTTCCGCACCAAGCCACCCCTGATAAATGTGGTCTCTAACTTTACACTGAGTTTCCTAGCTGTGGGACATATACTATATAGCGATGCACAGAGAGGAGACTGACCTTGAGACAGCCCTATCCTACTAAAAGCCTCAGCCACACACCAAAAGCCCAGACATTACTTTAAAAAAGCAGCTTAAGATTTCCAGTGTGTGTCTGCAACAAATAGCAAAAGGCAAATATGACATCTGCTCACATCTTTCAAAATAAATAAATCAAATGGGGAAATTTGCACATGGGCAGGGCAATATACAAAAAGGGCCCCTAGCACACTTTAAAATAGCCAGCAAAAAAAAATAAACTAATCTGTTTAATTACTTCACGGACAAGGCAGTATACAAAACAGCATTTGACAAGGCTTTTTTATTTAAAAAAAGCTTTGGTCTGGGTGGAAACAGACAGAGACTAAGCAGTCCATATATCAGGCTGACACTTGTGAGAAAGTTTGGGTCTGTGCAGAGACAGACGAAAGGTCTGAGTGGACCAAAGATATCCAGGAGGCTGAACAATTTATGTTGAGTTAATGTGATGTTTAAAGCCCTGGAAGAGAAACCTACTGTAAAAACATTTTGTTGAATAAAACTGGGTGGTTAATCCCTTAAACTCAAGTTGGAGAGTGAATAGAGTTATTGAGGCATAACCTATACATACAAACCTAAGGAATTGTTGAGTCATTTTGATGACTATTTGTAAAAAATCTGATACCCCTATTTGCACAGAATGCCTTATTACAGTTATTCCTTGTTTCTTCAGAACTTGCGTTTCCATGGGGTTGTTGACCTTGAAGCTATGTGTGAGAGTCCAGAGCGCATCTATGTGGTTATGGAGAAGCTGCATGGGGACATGTTGGAAATGATCTTATCAAGTGACAAGGGGAGACTTCCTGAAAGAATCACCAGGTTTCTTGTCACACAGGTAAATTGTGAATGAGGAAGATTAAACTGTCTGCAAATATATCTGTTATGGATTAAATTATTTGAGAATGTTAGTCTATATATTTTGTTATGGAAGTGATGGTGCTTTGTTAGTTAGATAAATGTTTTTAATAATATCTGTAATACAACCCCCCTCCGCAAAGAATACCACATATTCCCATAGCAAAAGGACTATGAGTATTTAGAACTTTGCAGAAAACAAGAGCCGATTTCTTACTGGTTGTGATCTCTTGCAATTCTGCTGACCACTTATCCTCCAGGACTGCTACAATTTCCCCATCCATATGTAGTCCTGTATAACTAACTTTCATAGCCCATTATCACTGCTCCTTCACAGCAGTACTAGAGAGAATGGCGGGTGCACACCAAGCTCGTCTTGCTCCAGCATCAGCAGTTACTGAGAAAAAAAGTCTGGTCGCACACCGCAAGATATGCAGTAAAATCTATTACAGCACACAGGTACACATTGTCCAGCCATGGATCCTCTTCACTCTTTCATGTTTCAAGGCCAGTTCACACCACAAAGTTTGTGTTCCTGTGCGTTCAGCCACTGGAACGCAAGCCGACTGGCTCCCTGCGTTCAGGAGTGGGAGGGAGGTGGCGGTGCATTGAAGTCAATTGCCAGCACCCGGAATGCAGGCACATTAGTGCCTGTGTTCCGGTCCAGTGCGATCTGCAAAAATACTGCAAGCACTAATATGCCTGCGTTCGGGGTGCGGGCGATCGCACTGTGGGCAGGGGGAGTGGCTGCGGTGCCATTGACTTCAATGGACTCTCACGCCCCCTCCCGCCTCTGAACGCAGGAAGCCGGCCGGCTTGCGTTCCAGAGCCCGAACGCACTGGAATGTGGACTTTGTGGTGTGAACCGGCCCTCACCCAATAAAGGGCTTAGTCATAGAGATAGGACATAGATCTTTGACTAAGCCCATTATTGGGTGAAACATGTCAGAGTGAGGAGGATCCATGGCGGGACGATGTGTACCTGTTCCATAATGAGATTTTCACTGAAGCTTGTGGTGTGCGACCGGACTTTCTTCTGTGAGCAACTAAAATACTGTATAGCCAAAACTCATGCATGTGCATTGTAAAAAGTGGACGCACAGAATGGAGTTTCGCTCCATAAACACTAGGTAATTTTAAGCTGGCAGAAAAGACAGAAAATGATGTCCATAGTCTGGACACAGGTGCAGATTATTTTCCTGGGTCTGGAAATGCTCTGTGGCCATCATGTTTCCATTCTCCCTGGTGGATTATTTAGTTCATATTATAGAGAATATAACAGGAAGTGTTGGTTCAGGCAAAGGTGGGTGCAAACACCCACAACTCCCAGGTAGACAGGAGCAAAGTTGGTTGAATGATTAGCTGCCTAATCCACCTAGACATTGTGGAACAAGAGGCAGACTAACTTTTATGGGGACCCTCCAAAATGATAGTGAGAATCAGTCAGAATCAGTCAGTCAGAAGGAAGACATGGTTGAGAGGTACAGCCCATACCCAGAGCCGGCGCTTGAGGGCGCTGGTGGGGGAGGGCGGAAAAACACCTCCTCACCCACCTTCCTCTGCTGTCGGTTCTGTCCGGAGGCTCGATATTTACATATGAATGGACCACGGCTTATTGATATGCAATAATTCTCCTTCGGATGTACTGGAGCAGGACAGAGCGATGAAAGTACAATGTTAAGGTGAAAAGAAGAAACTACTTTGGGGAGAAAGGAGGCCCATTGGCCTCAGGACAACCTTGTCTCTGTGTAATTCCAGAAGTTCTTTACGAGAAAAGGCCACCAACTCAGAAACCTGCCTTGTAGAGGTGATGGTAATAAAGAAGGCAGCCTTGTTGGTGAGTGTGAACAAATGACTATCTCTGGTTCAAAGGGCAGTTTTTTTTAAGACCTGACAAAACCAGGCTGAGATCCCATGAAATCACAGATGAACATACTGGTGGAGCTATGTTTGTAACACGCAAAACAAATCTTTACGAGAGGCAAGTGGTCTTTGAAAGAGAATCACTGGAGCTGATATTTGTCCTTTAATAGTACCAAAGGCCAAATGTGGATCCAGGCAGGATTGCAGAAATGTCAAGGTGCGTCCCATGAAGTTCTTACTGGGTATAAGGTATGTGCGGAAACGTCCCTACAGAACAGGACGGAAGTATTCTGTGGGGCGCAAAGAGCAGTGCACAGGAGGTGACACAACAAGCATTATGGAAGTGACCTATTTAAACAAGCCTGCCCTGCTCACTGTGCTGATGGTATTTCAGCTGCGTGTGTTCCTGTGCCTGTTGACCTGTTGAAGACTTCTGCCTGTACCCCCTTGACTCGGATTGTTTTGAACCTTTCTTAATTTCTGCCTGCTTCTGACTTCGGCCGTTTCCTGGGCTTGATTCCTGCCTCTCGATTCTGTACTTCGCTGCCCGGCTGGTTCCGATACTCGGCTTTCCTGGCACCAGTGCCTGATCCTACCTGTGGCACTCGTGCTCCTCGCTGCCCTTTCACACCCTGTTCCCACCTCCAGGGGGTGTAGTGAGGATTAACTCTGGTGCTTTAGTCATAACATGAACAGTGATATTTTTGTGAAGAGACAGCAGGATCCACAATGGGAACTGCCCACCTTTATTTTTTTTTTTTTAAATACCTCCGCTATAGGGTATTCCTCAGATAGTTTCTTGGAAAACAGCTTGTCAGGAGTAGGGATGAGCCGAACACCCCCGTGTTCGGTTCGCATTCGATCCGCCAAAATGTTCGAGTACGAACTCGAACTCAATGCAAGTGTATGGGGGTCGAATGACTAGGGATGGGCCGAGTGTTCGAATCGAACATCGGCAGTTCGAGCGCGCGCCGAACTTTATGGGATGTTCGCGGTTTTCGACCGCGGACATTCCATAATACAAAATGCCCACTGAAGCTCTGATTTGTTAAAGTCAGGTGCAAGACTTTGCCCTATCAGGGCTCAGCGGAGGAGTGGCCTGAAGGAGAAAGTTCTCTATCAGTTCCCCCCATGCTGATTGACAGCGGGCGGGTGCAATAGCCAGCTTGCTATTGGCTATTGCATTTTACAATATCCAATAGCAGGCTGGGTATGGCTCAAAGCCTGCAGATGAAGAGGGGGCGGGGCAGAGGAGAAGCGGCCGGACCGGGGAGCCGACGGACCGGAGGAAGAGGAGTGGGCGAACCGGGAGAAGAGGAGCGGACGGGCACAGGAAGAGGGGCGGACGGACCGGAAGAAGACAAGGTGCCGCGGCCGGACGGGGGAACGGAGAAGATGACAGACCAGGAGAAGACGGCAGCAGAGGTACGGGGGCAGCTAGGAATGCAGCGGTCTGTGTCCCCGCTGCCTCCGCCAACACAGGCGGGGAGAACAGCGGGGATTTGAAGGGACATCCCTAGTCAGGAGCAGACCGGTCACTATACAAAACAGGTTGCAATAAGGCAAAAGTTTTGAAAGGTTATAGACTCTTAAGGAAACCTCCACTGTTAATGCATGCTCTCATGACCACATATTTAAACATGTACGCAACATGTCAATAAGGACCAAAATGGTGTCTTTTAGCTTAGGAGTTGTGTAACCATACTGAATCTCAGGGTCAAAATCATCTAAAAAAGAACAGGCTACACATCTAACCATCATAGGCTCAGGTTGCAGAAAAAGCTGTAGCTGTAAGTATATCAGAGACAGACTCTGAAGGAGAAGGTGTAGAAATACCCTTAGGACCCCTGTGCTCTGAGCAATCATAGCGGTGATTTTTTTTTTGCATATAATCAGACATAGCCACAGAAAATTCCTCCCTAGATAATGTGAAGGAGGAAGCCATGCCAGATAGAGAAGTGTCTAGACTCAGGTAGGGCACAGCGGTACAGGCCATCCCAGAGCTGTTAGTGGATTGTGAGCTGGGGATGCCCACAGGACCACTCCCCTTTCGCTTATGATCTACCATACTGCAAGTATAGTAAACTGTGACAAACCCTATAAATTGTACTCGCACATTAGCTGCAGGGGAGATTACATAGCTGGCTGTGACTGTCACAGAGATTCTTGTTGTGAAGGTGTGTGGCTGGGATTTACCTCAGGCTGAGAGGGCCGGAAAGCTAGACTCCACTGTAATGGTGCAGTAATAGCCACTGGGGGGCATGTGCAACACATTGGTGTGATGCACAAACAAATGCAAGGTATTCTAAGACACATTTTAATGATGAAGTAATGTTCCCTTAGAATGCCTAAGCATTAAAGTCACAGGGGGACTAGCAAAAGAACTTGCCAGGCTCCCAAAAATGGGCAAAGCCCCTAAAACGTACCGCAGGGTGGTCTAAAAGAGCAACTTGCCGCAAATGGACACAGTATCAGAAAGTGCCAATTAAAGGACCAGCTACTCAGTTCAGACAGTCTTTGCCCCTCAGGTGGACATATGCTCATATGAGTTTTCAGGGAGCGGATGCCACCAATGGGTGTATCATGGCTCTGGACTTGTTAAACATCCTGCAGCTAGGTGAAACACTGTATTAGGTGTCTAAAGAGTGTCTGTAAACTGGACCCAGTTCCTGAGGGTGACATTACAGGCCAGCCCCTCCTCTTCATCATGGCGGGGTCAGGGTACCACCTCCAAGGCAGCACCAAGGATCAACGAATCTTGAAAACTTCCAAATGAGCTCTCATGGCTCTGCAGTTAATTATTAAAGTGACATTAAAGGCAACATTTTTTTCCCTCCCCCCAATGTAAATGTTAGCACTTACCTTAAATGATGTCTCTTTTTCCGAACTTCCTCTTCTTTCCTCATGTTTTCATGTGTCCCTCCAGCGGTGTAACATCACTCCGATCTTGCGCTGACTGCTCTGTCTCTCCGATCCAGCGGTGTCTGCAGGCGGGTGCACGCGTCCATAGACTTACCTTGCGTCTCTGCTCGTCTCCCGGCCGAGAATCGGAACTGCGCATGCGCCCGCCCCAAGATGCTTTGCGGCCGTACGAGCAGTTCCTGATTCTCGGCGTGGGGGATCGAGCGGCGATAACGAGGTAAGTTTAAAAGGATTTTAAGCGGTTTTTTTTGTTTTTTTTTTACACTTCTTGCCTATATCTACTGCTAGCTAGCAGTCGATATAGGCAAAAAAACCGGAGGGTTTAGAACCCCTTTAAATGTTGACAAAAGAAAAAATATCTTGATAGAAATGAAGGAATATTAATTAAAATGGGTTTGTTTTTCTTTGAGAAGAGAAGATGACCATTCCCTTAAGGAGACTAGCAAAAAACTGAAGCATGGTTTGAGTGGGAGGGGTTATACTCTGGCTGTCTAACAGCTTTTACTTTTTTACTTTCCAGTGTCCAATTCTCCTGTATGAAGTGAAATAACCCATACATTTCAGAATTTTTCTGACATTGAGCCCTTAAAGGAGAACTATGCGGTGAGTGATTTTCACTCAACGTCATCGTTCGAGCCGACGTGTGGTAATGAAACTGTCTATAGATCAGGAAGTGGGCAAACGCATACCGTCGCTCGCTCACTTTCAGATCATCTCCCTGCAGAGAGCAGTGACTGTCACCGCTCCCTGCAGGGATTCCAGCTGGGTGGATCTCGACAGCATTGTCGGGATCTGTCCCGGCTGCGGTGCTCTCAGTATATAGCGAGCTGTAGCTTGCTATATACTGAACCTTGGGTCACGGGAGGATGCAAGTATATGTCCTCCCATGCCCCCTAAGAGAACTATGAGATAAAAAGGTTACCCCATTGTAACGCAAACCCCGCAAGGGCCGCTGTAATATACGGGTCTTCTGTCCCACACTAGTGATGACTCACCCTCACCTGGATCCAAGTGACACCAACACACCGTTTAAAAGGGCTTTATTAAAACTAGCAATAAGCCCTGGAAAGAGATAAACTGGTTAACAGGATTGACAATTTTAAATGCAATGATACAATACAACCGCTCAGCAAAGTAAACAGGATTGGTGTTCATTCATTTTACCTGCCAGTGAGAGGCCTTGCCTGAAACGCACTGAACGAGTGGTGAACGACACTGTCAGTTGCATAACACAGAAATACTGTTCAACAAGTACCAAAGGAAATATGACTGACTATAAGAACCTATCTAGCTCCCGTAGGTCCGAGCTAACCACTGGCCAGTGGAAATTCTGCACAGACAGAGTCTGCCAGCGTTGGGGTCCTTTAACCCCTTCATGACTGAGGCTTTTTTTTCATTTTTTTGCACCCATGTTATATTCCACATTTTAGGCCTGAAAATGACTTAAAACCCCCAAACATTATATATTTTCTGAATGCCAAGACCCTATAGAATAAAATGGTGGTAGTTGCAAATTTTTATGTTGCGCAATATTAGCGCAACTCCTTATTAAACCCCAACATTTAGTGAAAAATTTAATTAAATGCCCCAAAACACAAGAAAATACCCATTTTTAATGAAATATAAAAGATGAGGTTACAACGAGTAAAACGATACCCAACTAAAAGGATCTCTCACCATTTAGATCCACTTTATATATCTTCCTTGCAGCAATCGGTAGCTTGGTAGCTGTCTCAGCCGACTGGATGGAGATGGGTGCAAATCAGGCCCCAGAATCCCCCAATCGGGATGATGATGGCTGCAGTACTGAAATCCACCTCTAGATGTCACTGTACTGTTAGCACATCTTCAGAGATCAGGCGATAGCATAGCATTCTGAAAACTTCCCTCTCAAGCCTGCACCTCCCTTTATAGGTCTCCACAGGAATACAGACTCTGGCAGTGCACAAGAGACAAAACACAAGAGACACTTCCCCTGTCTGGTCGCAGCATACCAGTCTGTCTCTCTCCCTGTGTCTCCCTCTCTATCTCCTAAGTCGGCTCTCCTCGGGTGGTGGGCGGGGCTAAACAGCCTGGCAGACAATCACAGCTCTTCTGGGCTGCTATCCAATCAAGTCCTTCCTTGCCTTTGTTGTTAGGGGTGGGCTTCCTTCTTGGCTACAACAGTAACCAATCCAAGAACAATCCTGCAGCTGAAGCTAATAGAGTTTCTCCTCCAGTCTCTGTGGGCTATCAGTCTAGCCAGAGAAATGCAGTGCAGTGTTTCACAGGGCAATACTCTGCATATACTACAGGAGCAATACTCTGCATGTGCTACACCCATAGTTCTCTATTAAAGAACAATTTGAGTTACTTTTCAGCATTCAACCAGAGGGCAGCACAATGACTTAGGGGTTAGCCTTGAAGCACTAGGGTCTTTGGTTTGAATTCCAACCAGGACAATATCTGCATGGAGTTTGCATATTCTCCCTGTGATTGCCAGGTTTCTGCAAGTATTTTGGTTTCCTCCCACACTCCTAAGACATGCTGGTAGGTTAATTGGCTCCTGTGTAAATAGTATAACCCTAGCATGTGTATAAATGCATGTGAGGTAGGGACCATAGATTGTAAGCTCATTGTGAACATGTACTAATGTGAATGTACTGTACAGTATTCAAAAGCACTGTCCTAGCGGTGACCTTTGTTGATCCAGTACGACACAAGGCAGATCACCACACTATGTATGAGCAGGCCATCAGAAACACTTTATTATTAAGCTGTAATTGTGAGGGCCCGTGCACACATAGTGCAGTGATCCACATCATCCACATCGCTGTGCTGCACCAGATCAATGCAAGTCATCTCTAGGACACATAGAAAACAACTGTATTCTATGTTTTCCATTCCCACTAAAATGCAGTAGGCAGTGTGCTGTGATAAAATGCAAACATGCTTCATTTTATTGCAGCGCATTAGATCCCACCACAGGTCACAGCACATCGCACCGCGCTGTTGTTCAGGGATCTGAATGGAGTTTACACATTGTACACTCCACAAAAAGTTTTTTAAAAAGCAAAAAATGTAAACAGTGACAGCTCTGGCATTATGCAATACAATGCAGATTACTGGAGCTGTCACAACGCATTAGCTAGGGCTAATATGAATGGGCCCTAAACTTTAACCTGAAATGGATGGCTAAATAAAGGTAGGCTTGTAAAGTTCAGTGAACGGCTTGGCATATTAGTAGGGGCTCTTTTTTGGACATTTGTTTACCATGAAGTGAAGCGGTAAAGAAATATTGGTAATTAACTTACTAATCAATGATCTAGTTCATGGAGCATTTATGATCAGCTTTAGCATGACCTTTACATATATTCATATAGAAAAAAAGTATGTAAAAAAGCTAGCATATGATTTCTACCAATTGTTAAAACATATATTTATATTGCATATATAATTGTTAAAACATGTTTGTTTTTCTGCAGATATTAATGGCCTTGAGGCACCTTCACTCAAAGAATATTGTTCACTGTGACCTAAAGCCAGAAAATGTCCTTTTGGCTACAGAGGATCCATTTCCACAAGTAAGATATCAACTAATAAAGCAAGGGGACTGCACATAACACAAAAACACTTTTAAAATACAACATACAGGCAACCTCCTGGCTGCAAACAAAATGCCAGATATCAATATACTACATTAATATACTATATTTCTTTTTTAACCCCTTCCTGCTCCCAGACTATATATATGTTCCCTGACACAATGCCCTGCGCATTGTTCTCTTTGAGAACCAGAAGCCAACACTTTGCACTATTGCTGGTTCTCAATACCAGATCTCAGTGTCAGATAGGGTGTCCGCTGACAGTTGGGATCCAGTCAGGGTGGTTCCTAATCATGTGATCACTATGTCAGCTTTGACATACTGATCACATGCAGGGTGATGTCTTTACTGGCAAAATGCACTGCGGCCGGTGTGCCGTGCCCGACACAGTGCCGATGCACCAATCCCAGCAAATTCTACTGTGAACCTTTTTTTTTTTAGAACTTTATTGAAATGTCACAAGTGACATTTCATTCAGTTCTACAGGAACAGAAAAGTCCAAGGCGATTGTTCCATTCATCTGAAGACTAAGACTCCATTCACACCATTTGCATTGCAAGGCAATTTGCATTGTAATGAATGGGCACTATTCACATCAACACGTTGTAGTGGAAACCCGATGGTGTGCACTATAACAAGAATGGCATGCCTTACTTTTCTAAGTGCAACAGGATGCAACAAGGAACAACTGCCTCACCCCCTGCTGTGACTGTAGAACTGATTGAAACATTACTTGTACGATGTGCTGGGATCGGCACTGTGTCAGGCACCACACACGCTGTGTGTTTTATCAGCAGTCAAAAAAAAGCGGGATCTGTATTTCTTGATTATACATTATGGGACACAAGATAGTATTTTGGAACATCGGGTTATATTGTCACCTTCAAGAGATTGGACACTGGCAAAACATAGCTGTAAGGACAGCCCAGTATAATCCCTCCTGCTTCCATCATGCCTCTGTTTTTTGCTAGTGTTCTTAGGAAATCGACCTGAAAGTGTCACCATAAAATTTAGAATGTGTGTTTTTCTTGGTGCGAGACCAGGAAATAGCTTCCCAGGAAGTTCTTTGTGTGATGAATCCTGTCCTTTCTCCAGTCTGATGTGGATCACGCTTTTGCCTTGAATACCATAAAGGGGTTCTTTTTCAGAGATCGCTTCCCTCTCTTTTTTGAAGGCTCATATCATTACTCCTCTACATTTCCCAGTAACTTTGTAGGATCTGAAACCTGGTTCTGTTTGCTCTTCAAAGACTGTCCTGTGAACCTGTTAAGAATTTTCCCCATCCTCATCACTTCCGAGAGGCGAGTTTGAGTTGGTGGCCTTAACTTGTAAAGAACCATTTCTTGTGCTCAACAAGTACAATGTTTTTTTTAAAGCCCAGAGACTCTTTTCTTCTCAAAGTGGTTTCTTCCTTCCACCTTAACCAGGACATTGTTCTGTCATATCTCTGCCCTTCTCCTACACATCCTAAGCAGGGTTCCCTCCATTGTCTGGATGTGGTATGCGCTATTCCAATCTCTCAGCTACAGCACCTTTTCGACAGTCCAGCTCTCTGTTTGTCATTCCTGAAAGTCCCCATAGGGGACAGCCTGCTTCTTTTTTTCAATATTGCAAGGTAGATTAAACAGCTCATCATTTAAACTTATGGCTTCAAGGGCAAGGCTTCCCCCTTCTTGGTCAGAGCACATTCCACTCAATCAGTTAGTGTTTTATGGGCTTGTTAGTATCAAGCTTCTGTTTCTCAGATTGCAAAGCTGCCACCTGGTGTTTTGGTCACATGTTCATTACATTTTACCAGGTGGATTTTCAGGCCTCAGCTGATGCTGGCTTCAGTCTTAAGGTTTTTCAGGGGGCTCTGTAGGCTCTCTTGAGCCCTTCTGTTAACATGTTTTCTATTTTTTTTTCTTGTGGCTATGTTAGCCTTTGTTTGCTGTTTTTCCCAACCCTTAATTGGACTTCCATTGTTCCAGAATACTCTCTTGTGTCCTGTAATGTTTGATCAAGGAAATAGCATTTTTGTCTTACCTGTAACATTCCTTTCTTGAAGTACATTATGGAACACGGGTACCCCCCCGCCTTATGATCCACTCCAATTGTTGCTTGCTACAAAACTAAGGCATTCTGGGAGTGGGAGGGGTTATACTGAGTTGTCCTTACAGCTTTGTTTTGCCAGTGTCCTATCTCCTGAATGTGACCGTATAACCCAATGTTCCAGAATACTATCATGTGCCCAGTAATGTACTCCCAAAAAAAGGATTCTACAGGTAAGACAAGAATCCTCTTATTCATATTATTCTTGACAGGAATGCAATCTGTGTATTAGACACACAGTACTGAATGTTACTTTTATTTATAATAATGAATATAATGTTATTGTCTAACATTTTGATGAAATGAATATAGCATTTCAGTTAGTGAGAAATGCCTAATTTAAGTGTATTCCATACATTTTTTTATTTTTTATAACAAGGTAAAACTTTGTGATTTTGGATTTGCTCGCATCATTGGGGAAAAGTCTTTCCGGAGGTCAGTGGTTGGGACCCCAGCTTATTTGGCACCAGAGGTCTTAAGAAACAGTGGCTATAATAGATCCCTTGATATGTGGTCAGTTGGTGTAATCATCTATGTCAGCCTTAGTGGAACATTTCCCTTTAATGAAGATGAAGATATAAATGATCAAATCAGAAATGCAGCTTTTATGTTTCCAAAGAACCCCTGGAATGAAATTTCAAATGATGGTAAGAAAACCATGTCATTTTTTAAGTTTGTCATAGATTCAGTAGTATGATTGGTTTAGTTACATTTAGTAGTTAGAGTTGGTCATGTTGGAAAAAATAGATGCCTACTTAACCAGAACAAACAAAAAAATCAAATCTGGACCCATATAAAGCAAGGTCTGATTTGTTCCAATAGTGAAAACATTCAGAAAATTTCCTGGATTGACATTCTACAATGTTATTTCTTAAAGGTATTAGTAGCCATTTATATTTTGTCCAATTATAAACACACCCAACCCTTTTTTGAAACAGTCTGTAACGTTTGTTAGAACCAATTCCTGTGGGTGGCTATTCTACATTTTGTTTCACAATATTTTTATTGAATTTTCAAAGAAAATAAGAACAAGGCATATATTACACAAGAAGAAGTCAAAGTGAATGCTTCGCAGAGCACCATATAACCAAGTGTCTCACTGTAAAAACGAATCCTGAACAGTACAATACAATACAAATGAAGGTAGCCGCAATAAGCAACAACATATGATAAATGGACAATGGGATCACTGGAAAGGCTAGTGGGCAAATGGAAAATGCATATAACTAGAAGGGCCATCCATTTGTTAAGCAGAGACCACAGTACATTTAGCACTTGGCAACGGGGCCAATGAGGGATAACAGAAGTAGTGTGACCAATGAGTAAAGGGGCGGGAAAGGTTGAAACAAGGGAGGTAGGAAAAGGGGAGAAGGAAAGAAAGTCAATAGAAAGAGTAGAAGAGAAAAGAACCAAAACCGTAGAGGAGTTGGGGCACCAGATCCTTAAATGGACAACAGTTGGGACCCAAAAGTAGGCGGTCTAGAGTAGTCAATCCACGTTTGCCAGATCACCAGAAAGCGATCGTGCGTATCCGACAATTTTGCTGTCAGCTTTTCATTAACTAAAATACCATTGAGACGACACTTGACTTCCCCAAAGCTTAAGGACGAAGACTTCCAGGATCTAGCAATAGTCATTTTAGTAGCAACAAAAATATGGGAGACTAAAGTCCTCTGTAAACGCTTCAGATTTGAAATGGGTTTTAGTAATAACGCCTCACAAAGATCCCTCCGTAGAAAAAAATGTAAGAGGGAACAAATCAGGTTGTAGAGTCTAATCTATAGTTTAGATACCCATGGGCAGGTCCACCAGATGTGGAACATAGTACCAAGTTCCAAACAGCCCCAAAAGCAATTGGGGGAGTATGACGGGATACATCTTGCAATGCGGGCAGGTGTATAGTACCAGAGGAATTACACTATATAAGAATTTGTGAATGCCAGCACATTACGAGAGCAACAGGCCATAGACCCCCCAAAAAGTGTGTGGGGTTCCCCTTCAAAGTCATACCAGACCCTTAAGGTCTGGTAGGAATATTGAGGAGAAACCCCACCCCCAAAAATGGGGAGAAAAAACGTGGCGTCCCCCCTAAAATTCCATACCAGACCCTTGATCCAAGCATAGGCCTGGCAGGGCCGGAAAGGGGGGGGGGGACGAGCGAGTGGCCTCCCCCCTCCCTCCTTTACCAGGCCACATGCCCTCCGCACTGGGAGGGTGCTTTTCCTCTTCCCCTGGGGCGTTGGTTATGGGATGCGGGCAGGGGGCTTATTCACACCAGGGTACCCCTTTAGCACCCAGATGCTGCCTCCCCTCCTTGTGAATGAGTAAGGGGTACTTATATCCCTACCCATTCACTAAAGGGTTAAATAAAAATTGTACATAAAAAGTCCAGACTTTTGAGAAAATCCTTTATTTGGAAAAAAAACAAAAGACCCAAAAAATGGATCCACTGACGTAATCCATAGTCAATAACAACATCCAGCGTTGTCCACGACGACGACTTGACGAAATAAAACAATAAAAAATAAATAGAAATAATAAATTTGTAAAAAACGCCGACCATCATCCTGTCCGTTCGCAATGAACACCCGCCCCATTATGGCATTTTGACAGATGCCGGCAAAACATAAACAATTGGGCTAGCGGTGACAGCTAGCTCCGCCAAACTGTGTAGTCTTATGTCATCTGTGTAGTCTTATGTCATCATCAACAGGTAAGCCATGATTGGGCAAAGTCATGAAGCGGAACACCCTTATAGTTCGTGTGTTCGGCGAACACACGTTCAAATCGAACATCTGGCCCAACACTAGTGAGAGGGAGTTATCAAGAAGATAGAACTATTCTACATTTTCACAACTGTAACTTCACACACAAAAAAAAAAGATATAATTGCTACACAAGCACTGTTGTAATCTAATGTTATTAAAATTACTTTTCTATTTAAAATGGCAGCCGCTGTAATTTTCTAAAACTGTAAAAAAAAACATCAATGCAATATGGCGACCTGGAGGCGTTCTGTACACAGAAATGTAATTTCCTGCTTTGATTGACAGAGTTTGACAGAAATCTGCACTAAGATACAAGTCAAATTTTAGTCATCCCTTGCAATAGGAATTTTATTTTTTGGTGAGATATTTCCTAGGGGTTAATTACTCCTAAAGGGATGCAGACATTGCACCTTTATAGAACCTCAATAGAACATAGAAAGCTTAGCTGCTGATTATGAACCCAGACACTCTCATTCAGAAATCAGTTTGGAAAGGACATGGTACGGCACACAGCTTTTTCTTCAGAACAGAAAGGGGTACAAACTTGCAACAAAGTTTTGGTAAAATCCTTGCAATGTACACAGATCACCCAGAGGGGGTTGATTGATTTTTATTTTTACAAAAGTGTTACTCTTTCTGCAAATAAAGGTTAAACTTCTTTTCCTCCAGTTGCATAGAGTACCATTGTGCCTATTGTGTGAACAAACATGTGTCCTTACTGGATAGACAGTAGTTTACAGAGTATATACAACCATTTATATTAACTCAAGAAAAAAATAATGACCCTGTCACAATCTCGCATGCACTTTATGGCCTATTTCATTAGGAACTAGTTAGTCTACCAGGATATTTTGTATGAAACAGGCCAATGTTATCACACATTTCTAAACATGGAGAACATAAAAACTGGACTAAAATAGCATCCCTGGAGTGAAACCAGGTTAACCACCTACTTATCATGATTGGTGAGGCTAGGTTCACACCTAGGCGATTGAGCTGGTGAGCTGTTTTCGGGTGTTTTCATTTGCACAACTGTGCTTTTAAAACCGTACGGTTGTCACGCGGTTTTCAATGCATAGAGATGTCTATGGGACCCAAACCGCGCGACAACCACCTGAAAATAGCTCCTGCACCTTTTGGCGCGTTAGGCGATTTCGTCCGCGCGACAAACCACAAAGGTGTGAACAGCCTCTATTGGCTTCAATGTGAATCTGTGTTTTTGTGTGATATCGTGCGACAAATCGCCTAGGTGTGAACCTAGCCTGAAAGTGGCAAAGTTCAACACCAGACATGGTCTGATCTGATTAACCTGTATTCATTTTGTAAAATCAATGCTGCAGCATCAGTATGGAAAATGTGCCTTTTGGTAATAAATAATAATAAATAAATGCTTCCTTATTTTTTTTAGCAATTACTCTTATAAGCAGTTTGTTACAAGTGCAAATCAGAAGAAGATTCAGTGTGGACAAGGCTCTTAGTCAACCATGGATGCAGGTACGTGGCCATGTCAGCTGCTATCTCTTTTGCATTTTCCCAGCAAAGCTGAAATTTCAGTTTTTAGGTATTTTTTTTAAAACCACTGTAGTCATCAGTGACAAGACTGCTGGACTTGAATTACCAGGTGGGGAATTTTTAATGTGTTGCTTTATGGAAAATGCCACAGGATGAGTGAGAAACAAAGCGATCCAGGTATTTGTGTGTGAACATCTTTCTATTATAACAAGAAATAAGGTAAATAAAGCCCCACATATAACCAAAATATCAGAATTTTATATTTATTGAACATTCATGCATGTGAATCAGCAATGCAGCCCAATGCATAGAAAATATATTGAACTCTGGACCTGATTCATCAAGTTGTAATATATAATATTTCATGCTAAGAGTGGCATGTTAAAGGAGAACTATGGGTTAAGTGTTTTTCCCCATAGTTCTCCTAAGGGTCACGGGAGGACACAAACTAGTGTCCTCCCGTGACATAAAACCTCAGTATACCGCAAGCTACAGCTTGCAGGAAACTGAGACCGCCGCAGCCAGGACAGATCCCGACATTACTGTTGAGATCCACCCAGCTGCGTGATTGACAGCTGGCTCTGCCTATCTAGAGGCAGAGCCAGCTGTACCCGCCCCCTCCCCCGTCCGTTCCGCCAGTCAGCGCTGGAGGATCGGACAGGGGGGGAATCCCTGCAGGGAGCCGTGAGTGACAGTCACAGCTCTCTGCAGGGACAGGATCGAGAAGTGAGCGAGCGACGGTATGTGTTCGCTCACTTCCTGATCTATTGAGCTGACGTGTGACAGTTTCATTGTCACACGTCGGCTCGAACTATGAGGGTGAGTGATTTTCACTCACCTCATAGTTCTCCTTTAAGTGATACTGCATGTGGTTGCATGTGGTTAAATTGCTTGCTTTATCAAAGAGGAAAAGTTTGTGATTCAATAAGCTTTTACTTACAGTCTGGCAGTACTCCAGTAATACTGCACAAGCACTGCAGTGCTTGTCCTTGTCCACTCTCTCCTCAGTGTTCTGGCATGATGGAGGAGTGTTTAGTGCATGGAAATGTTTCCTACACCCTTAAAATATTTTCCAGCAAGATCATAGTAAAGAAAAATAGGGGTGGGACCTTTTGTACCTTTTTTTTTTTTTTTTAGTTTCAAAACATTTTTATTTTTCAGTAATGTATTGGTTAAACGGAGCACTATCACGAACATCGTGAACGTGCAAATGCAGTAATGTAGACATTGGCATCGCTATCATCATATGACAGTATAACATACGAGGCATACTTATAGCAATCACCTATCTGTACAGGGGAAGGCGGGGAAACGGTTTTGGTGGGAGTCCCACCATTGCGGTCAGAGCAGACCAGGAAAAAAAAAGATCAGAGGAGAAGCGTAACAGTGAGGGAGGAGGGTACAGTGGGGAAGGGAGGGGAGACTAGGGTGGTTTGACGCTTGGTCGAGAACATCCGTGAGTCGGCCGTATGGTTAGAGGAGGGAGAGATCATAGGGTGAGTAAGCGTGTGTCAAAGGTCGGTGGCAAGAATTGTGGGACCTTTGTACTTTAAAGAACTCCAAGAAATGTATTTTACTATAAGCACATAAATTGAATTTTCTTTCTGGTTCATTAAGGGATACAGGATCCAGCAACAATAAGGATGCCCAAAAGCAGTCTGAGGGGTGGGCAACAGCAACAAAACACTACCATGCCTACATAACAAGAACAAAACTTAGGGCTGTCTTCAGGAACCTTACCCCCCAACCTGGCATTAGATGACACCTGACCATCCACATGGTAAAACCTAGAGAATGTGTGAAGAGACCAGGGGCAGACTTGCAAATCTAGGTGACCATAGCCTGATGCCGAAAAGCTACTTGAGAGACACTCTAAACAAAGGTCTTGCTCAAAGAATAGGAAGCTATTCTGTCTGGAACACGATTACAAGTGCAGAGATCTGGAACTTGATGGTAATTAGGGCCAACTGTTGATCCAGACCTGATGTTAAAAAGATGAAGATTTGTCCCATGACAAGTTTCCTGTGATGAAAGGTGTTTTCCTCACACCAAGCAAAGTATGCTTTCCACTTATGATGGTAGACCTTGCGGGAAGTAGACTTCCTGACCTTTAACATTGTGGGAATCACTGATTCAGCTGGTCCCCCTGTCTCTCAATACTTGGGCTTCAACAGCCACGCTGGTAATTTCAGCAACCATGAAGCAGGATTATAAACCGGGCCTTGAGAAAGAAGGTCCTGAAGAGCCCATGGAGCATCAACAGGCAATTCCTGGACTGTAGGGTCCAAGTCTGGGAGGAATTTCTCTTGGGGAAGAAAAATGCTGGCTTGAGCTGTGTGTAGCATAAGGCCTAGATACTCCAAGCAGTGAGTCAGCTTCAACACTGAAAAAGTTTAGGATCTAACTTTTTCAAGGTTGGATCACCACATTATCAGTCAGAACCTTTGCTGAATGTTTTCTCAATAGGAGGTCATCCACATATATCCAACATTAGAGATACCTTGGGAGTGTAGCAAGGCTAAAACAGATCCCAGCACCTTGTTGAACACCCAAGATGCAATGGCAGGGCCACAACCTGGTAGTGCTGGGGACCCACAAAAGTAAAAGAATCACAAACGCACTGGACAAATGAAAATAAGTGTCCTTGATGTACACAAAGGCCTGAAAGTCTCCCTGATAAAGGGAGGCTATGGCAGACTTGGTGGATGCCATGCAGAATGTTTTGACCCAAATGAAGACATTTAAGGCCTTGAGATCCAAAATGGGATGGATGTCCTCTTTTGGTTTGGGGGCTGTGAAAAGGTTCACACAAACCCCTGGAACATTTATGCATTAGTAACTGTTATGGTAATCCCATGATCCAGAAGATCTGCAAGTGCTACATGGAGGTCTGCTACTCTGTGCAGAGATGCAGGCGGGTTAGAAGCCATGAACCAGAGAAGGGACAGGGAGTGGAACTCTACCTTAAAGTCCCTGAAAACCACCTCCTAGATTCAGGCATCTGAGACAGGCTTGGAAGCCCAAGGTTTGAGGTTGAACTAGGTACCTGGCTTGGAGGTTGAGGCCTAGGAGTAAGAAAATAAACTATTCTTGTTATTAAATGGGGATAAGTCTTCCCTGCCTGAGGTCTAGGTTTTTTCTGCTGTGGCAGATGAGTTTTCTTACTCCTAGTGACATCTTTGATGACATCCTTGATAAGGGTGTTTAAGGCAGCTCCAAAGAGACGCTGCTTCTTGAAGGGCATGCACAGTAAATGTTCTTACATGTCTGTTGGCAGTTCAGCATTTTAGCTATTGAGTTCTCCGCATGTTCACAGACAGGAAACGCAAACGGACAATGAGAACATAGGAGGGAGCCTTGCCTGATGAAGCAAATAAATACTCTGAGGAGTGTAGGGACATAAGTAGAGGACAATTGTTGTTGGTGTCAGGCCCTTTAGAAGGGGCACTGCAAGCAGCACCGCTAGTAAATCAAAGCTGGATGGGACCTATTACAGTGGGATTTGGGAATCCAACATGTTGTGCTGCCAGACAGGAACAACTTAGCTCAGGTTATAAGATACTCCTGAACCAGCTGCTGGAAGCAGGAGAATTCAGAAAACCAAAGGTGACCAGGTAATTCAAGGCAGACAGCATAGACTAACTGGGGAAGATCCCCAGGTCATTTGCAGCTAGAAGCTTAGCTGGAGAGCTTACCTCATGTCTAACTGTCAGGAATAAGAAAGTGGTATGCACATGCATGATACTCCCCTTAACTAAGTGCATCATCGCAAGAAAATAGGGATAAGAAAGGTTCCCAACGGTCCTAGTAGTTCAGTAACCCCCGGTGCTCGGCCCACACTGCCTATTCACAAGAGACTGGGTCACACCAGAGGCTTTTCCATGGCTCTGATCCTGGAATGTGCTCCATGGCTAACTAACATAGTACACTCAGGTCTGGAAAGTGCCACAATGTGGGACCCAAGTGCCCAGGCTAACTTAACAGTCATCTAGTCCAGGGGGGTCTGGGTACAGCCTCCAAAGTAATTTGCGTGGATACACCTATCCAGATATCTGTATATGGAAACCAGCTCAAGCAGTGTGTATGGAAATGTTGATTGAAGAAATAAATGTTTCAGAAAATAAAAAAAATGGCTAGTAAAAACATTAAACTTTTCTCAGCAGAGAAAAGATGTCCATCCTCCTATGACACAAGCAACAAATGAGGCATGCCGGAAGTAGGAGGGGCTATACCTGTTGGCCACTGTTTTCCATTGTCCAAATCCTAATGTAGCTGGCAGTATAACCAAGTTGATTCTGAATCTCGTGTCCTTCAATGAACTAGAAAGAAAGTTCTTATTTTATATTAAAGCAAACTTTTTCCAGATATTGTACACACAATTGTATTAATTTTTGTGTATTTTCCTACAGGACTTTCAGACTTGGTTGGACCTCCGTGAATTAGAAACCAGAGTTGGTGAAAGATACATTACCCATGAGAGTGATGACGCCCGTTGGCAGAGATTTGCTGAAGAATGTGGCATTGAATACCCCCAGCACTTTGTCATGGGACCCCAGTATGATGAAACCGAGGAAGAAGATGAAGAGTAACTTTTTCTTGTAGCCATATGGCTGATCACAGCTATTTGGTTAAACCAAAGACATAATGCTGTAGGCCAATGTTAAGATACTACATGGTCTTTTTTAGGCTCAAGCCCACTGCCCAAATAATATACATGAGCCATAAAGAAAAGAGCCTGCAATATTTATGCACTAACCGAAACGTATGTGTGAAAATCTCTATTTTTTTAAATGTTTAAATAGTTTAAAATAGGGGTTGAACTGAAAGTCCAAAAGCTCAGGAGCCACCGATATAATTGACTTGTTTGTGTATAGATGCTTCTTATGTTGTGCCCCTTTAGGCTTAGTCTTAGTGCTGAGTCTTAGTACTGAAAATAATGGAGGTGCTCTGTTTTTTTCTTAAGCATGTGGATACTCCAGTGTGTTGCACAAATGTTTATCTTGTACTCTCTGTACTAAAGGGTCTCCCTAAATGACTTCCTGAATTGGAATCAATTAGAGAGGCTTGTGGTATGAAACCTTTGCAGCTGGGTCCCAAAGCCTATCTGGGCTGCTATATTCTTACAGTATACTTACACAATATGTCTCTTTATAGCTGTGTATTTAGATCCAGTATGTAATTTTTCAAATGTATTCATAATAATGTGGCCTCTATGTAACTTCAACATTTTCTAGAAAATTATATTTTTGTTCATAAATAAGAAAATATTTATCTTGTACATACATGAGAGATGTGTGACTGTGTTAAAAGGCCTTCACATTATTACACCAATAAATATTTTCTGATTTTTACAGTCATTTGTGTCAGCAAGGGTGATATTAAAGAGTTTTGACAATCTGTCAGTATCTACTGCAATGTCCAAATGTTTTATTCATAGTCAATTGTTCATATGTTATCAGTTGTAAATTAAATTATTGTATCAGAAATTAATTTAGTACAGTGCATAGGTATAAACAGAAATTGGGTATTAAGTTCACTAAAGGATTTTTTTCTAGTTAAAAAACTAAGAAAAAGTCTATATTTTATCAATGTTTAAAGCTGAAGTCCAGCCCAAAGTCCCACGTCTTGTCACTTTGTGCTTATATGACTGGCCACGTACACTTGCCGAGCCGCACACATATGCTTCAGCTCGGCTGAGCCGTAGTGACACCCGAAAGTGTGGAGAAAGGTCGGCCAAAGCCAACCCATCTCCACGCAAATGACAGCTGGGCGAAGCCAGCCGTGATCTCGCGGCTCGCTCCGCCCAGTTGTAATGACATCAGCGTCCCCAAATGACCTGGGGACGCTGCTGTTATGAAACAATAACAACTGGGTGGAGCCGACCGTGACGTCATGGCCGGCTACGCCCAGTTGCTATTGTTTCATAACAGCAGCGTCCCCAGGTCATTTGGTGACGCTGATCTGTCATTACACTACAATGTTATTCATTGGCTGGGACCTGCTAGAAGACTCTAGCAGGTGGCAGCCCATAGGAAACAGTTGGCCGGAGCTAGCTGTCACCACTAGCTCCGCCCAATTGTTTTTATTCTGCCGTTATCTGTCAGATGCTTGATTGTGCCGATGGGGTTCGTCACGTGTGGTTGGGTCGGCGTGCGTCGTTTTTTTTTTAGTATTTTTCTTTTCCTTAAGAGAACTATGGGGTCAGGGCCTTTTCCCATAGTTCTCCTTAGGGTAATGGTAGGACACAAACTAGCGTCCTCACGTCACCCTAGGCTCAGTATACCGCGAGCTACAACTCGCGGTATACTGAGACGCCGCAGCCAGAGCGGATCCCGACATCGATGTCGAGATCCGCCCAGCTGCTTGAGTGACAGCTGGCTCTGCCTATCTAGAGGCAGAGCCAGCTGTACCCGCCCCCTCAGTGCTGGAGGATCGTAGCGGGGAGGGGGGAATCCAGTCCCTCCCCTGTCACGGCAGAGAGCCGTGACAGGATCGAGAGGTGAGTGAACCGGGTATGTGTTCGCTCACCTCCCGATCTACTGAGCCGACCTGTGACAGTCTCATTGTCACAGGTCGGCTAGAACTATGAGGTGAGTGAAAAGCACTCACCTCATAGTTCTCCTTTTAAAATTATTATTACATTTTTTTGGTTAATTTTTCTATTTTTTTACATTTTAAAAATAATTTTTCAACTTTTTTTTTCATTCATTTAAATGTTTTGCTATTCTGCTCACTACCTCGGAGGTACTGAGCATAATAGCCGAGGTGAATGTCGCTCAGCTATTCAATTACTGCCATTTGGCCCCTATGAGAATAGGAGCAAACGGCAGCAATTGAGATGTTGGAATCCAGATGTTGGATCGGCTGAGTCGAAATCCTTCTGCACTTTGGCTCAGCTGAAGGCAGCCAATGTACGGCTGATTTTAGCCGATGTACGGCTGAAATCAGCCGTGCAAGGCTGAAGTGAATAACTGAATAGCGTTCGGCTCACTTCACTTCGGCTCGGTTATTCACTCGCTAAGTGAATAGCCCCCTAAATAATAAAAAAAAATGGCTTTTGCTGCAATATTCTCCATCTATTCAAAGATTTTTTTACTGTTGCTAGACATCTTCAGTCTGGTGGCCTGAACATGCTCCCGCCTGTGACTGGAGACTGAGAAGCAACACAGTAATGAGCTAGGGTTGCCACCTTTTCTTCATGCAAAACCTGAACACTATAGTGCCGCACGGCAATTTTTGGGGGAGAATATCGGAGACGCGAGGAGAGACAGCCAGGGGAGAAGTGAGGGAAGATATAATACTTCCAGATATTTATTAACACCCTCAGAGTTCACAGCACCCCCCGTCTGATTGCACTGTGCCCCCTCCTGCCCCAAAATGAAGGGGGGAGTTTTGTGAGCGATTGCGGTGCGTTCCAGCAGTTGGAACACACCGCAATTGGTGTGCACAAGCCCTTACACACACACACACATATATATATATATTATACATGCAGCTCTTTATTTGTGTGTGTATATAATATGTATAATATATATAATACATTATACATGTATGTAACAGTGAAGATTTTAGAGCAGCATCTACGCATTCACATACTCTTCCCCCCTCCCCAGCTCCACCGGGACCGGGAGGTGATACTGTCACAGATGACAAACGATCAGGGCACAAACAAAGGAACACAGACACTCACCCTGCACCTCCACCAGGAAGCAGTTCTCTGACAGAAAGAAAACGATCAGAACGGGAGAACTTGGTGTGAGGAGCTCCACAGGTCGCACGTCAGCTCCCAGCCTCCAACACAGTGCGGCCTCAGCAGTAGGACCTCGGGGCTGCCCCATCCGCCTGAAGTTCTGACATCTTGTGCCCGGGGCTCAGCTGACCTGAAAACCGGACACAAGATTTCAAAGCCGTACTGTCCGGGTGAATCCCGTAAGGGTGGCAACCCTATGTTGAGCTCATCTGTCTCTGTCACTCTTTATCTTCCTTTCAGCATGTTTCTTGTCAGTACATAAACTGATTGTTTCCTTGTACTGCTACTCCCTGTCACACTCCAGCTCTGCTAAACAAGGGCTGCAAGCAGGTAATACCAGGTCGAATTCAGGTACTTACACTGAGTGCATTTCAAAAATATATTCAATTATGTATTAATTAAAACAGATCTGCAATTATTTGTGCCTTTTATATCTGTCTAAAGTTCAGCTTGAACCCTTTTGCTTCCACTAATATAACTATTACGGCAGCACGAGTTTGTAAACAGACTCCTGGCTACTATATCAGCTGGGAGATTACATTTTACTCCTAGCTGCTGACTTCTAGTAGTGGTGATTGCTTCTACAGTGTCATATTAAAAAAGCTGTTTTAAAGTGACTCTGTAGCTAAAAAAAATAATATAAACAGCCTGTAAAATAATTTTTAATATTGCTGCATACTTTCACCACAGCTGGAGGGCCGAAGTTTGGCTACCCCTGAACTAGAGGGATGAGGCTATTTTCACTAGCTGATATGGAAGCAGTTAAGGTGCAAACCTGGCATACAGGAGCTTGGCGTTTACGCTGTTTGTTTTTCTTCCGCTCCAGCAAAAACCTGGCATGGGAAGGTTGTTACCAGAGATAGTGGGCTGGTTGTTGGCGAGTGCTGTTTTCCAGTTGCAAGGCTTCACTCTGGGGAAGGGCAGGCAACCTATGGCTATAGGACTGCATGCTTAATTTTGCTGCTGCCTGCCTACCCTTCTCCTCTTGTCCATGGAGAAATACTCATAGGAAATGGCCAACAAGGACCAATGGGAATTTAAATAAGTCTCCTACCAAATGTGGCAGCCCCACAAAGTCCAAATCTGTCCCTCTTCATAGCTGCCATTATTTTTACACAGATTGCATTGCTTGAACTTATGGGGATAAAAAAAATGATTTAATTTAATAATGAAACGTATAAATATAATGAATAGTACATCTGTAAATAATATAAAAGAAATAGTGATGGTAAGTGTGAAAATGTTTAACATTATTTACAGATTTACATTTTTTTATACTTTATTTATTTCCTCGTAAGGATGTCCCTGCCCTTGTCAAGCAAACAGGGATGGCAAGGCTGTAACTAGAATGCTTACAAGTGTTCATTCCAATGAACTGCTGGGTGAGGGAGGGATTTGTGATCTGCTTAAGCAGATTGTGAGCAACAGCTGCCTAATGCACTCTAATCGCCTCAAGCTAGGAGTTGTATTCTAAAAAGTGGAAAACACACAAATTCAGGGCTCAAAAAACTACTAGCCAGTCTTTAAGAGTTACTCGCCACCAGTTGCCCCACCTAACCCCTCCCCTGCCCTGGCCTTAACTCTGCCCCTAAACACACCCTCTTAAATTATCTCATGAAATTACAATGTTAAATGTTTAATTCAGAATAAAGTTACAAAAATAAATATTAACAATAACAACTTTAACAATATTAACATAACGCAATGTAAACATAAAGGAAAATAAGTATCAATAAAAATCAGGACCCTCCAACGCGATAGACTCAGGACTCTCCAATGTAATAGACTCAGGACCCTGCAACGCATTCATTTTACTATTTCATTAATTATTAAATATTAATTAATATTAGTTATTTAATTACTAATATTTACTTAATTAATATTGATTAATACTATTATTTAACTGTGTTTATTTAATGTGAGCACTACACCTTGTGTTATCTCAAACCAAAAGCTAAATACAAGTGCCGTGCTACACTACTAAACAAAAATCTGTAAATCCAATCACCAACAATATTGTGAAAATAAGAAAAACTGTAATAACATCAAACACACAATGTGATAAATATATTTCCTCCACAAAAGCACAATGTTCTGTGAAGATATAACTTGTCAGCGGCTGTGAAGGAGTGGTGGAAACCTCTGATTGACTTTCTTTTACTAAGCAATATATATTCTCTCCATATAGC